CTTAAAAATTTTCAAAAAAATTGTAACAACTTGGCAACATTGCTCGGAAGAGACTAACTAAGACATTTAACACTATTTAAAAGTTCTATTGAAAAAAATCAAATTTTATGGTTTTTTTTTGTCTTAAAAAAATCAAAAAAAAATTTAACAACTTGGCAACTTTGCTCTGATTTTCAATAAGAAAAAAATTGTTTAGGAAGCCTAACAATCGATTAATTAGGACATACAAAAGTATAGGAAAGTTGTATTAGAATAAAAAAAACAAGTTTTATGTATTTTTTTTTTAGAAACATCAGTCTTAAAAAATCAAAAAAATTGTAGAAACTTGGCAACATTGCTCGGAAAACACTAATTAAGACATGCAACAGTATATGAGAGTGATTTTAAGAAAAAACAACTTTTATGTTTTCTTTAAACCTTTACAGTTTTAAAAATTCAAAAAAATTTCAACAACTTGGCAACATTGCTCGGATTTTCAATAATAAAAAAATATGGTTGTATAGCTTAAGATAAATGAATTAGAATCTACAACAGTACAGGGGAGATTCTATTGAAACAAATAAAATTTTCTGTGTTTTTCGGAATCTTTAGAATCTTAAAAATTTTCAAAAAAATTGCAAGAAATTGGCAACATTGCTCGGAAGAGACTAACTAAGACATTTAACAGTATTTAGGAGTTCTATTGAAAAAATATCAAATTTTATGATTTTTTTTTGTCAGTATTCCACTCTTAAAAAAAATCAAAAAATTTTTAACAACTTGGCAACATTGCTCTAATTTTCAGTGAGAAAAAAATTGTTTATGAAGCCTATCGAACGATTAATTAGCACATGCAAAAGTATAGGAAAGTTGTATTAGAATAAAAAACAAGTTTAATGTATTTTTTTAGAAACATCAGTCTTAAAAAATTAAAATTTTTTGTAGAAACTTGGCAACATTGCTCGGAAAACACTAATTAAGACATGCAACAGTATATGAGAGTGCTATTAAGAAAAACCAATTTTTATGTTTTTTTAAACCTTTACAGTCTTAAAAAATTTAAAAAAAAATCAACAACTTGGCAACATTGCTCGGATTTTCAAGAATAAAAAAATATGGTTGTTTAGCTTAAGACAAATTAATTAGAATGTGCAACAGTACAACGGGGATTCTATTGAAACAAATAAAATTTTCCGTGTTTTTTGGAATCTTTAGAATCTTTAAAATTTTCAAAAAAATTGTAAGAACTTGGCAACATTGCTCGGAAGAGACTAACCAAGACATTTAACAGTATTTAGAAGTTATATTGAAAAAAATCACATTTTATTTTTTTTTCAGTGTTCCACTCTTAAAAAAAATCAAAAAAAATTTTAACAACTTGGCAACATTGCTCTAATTTTCAATGAGAAAAAAATTATTTATGAAGCCTAACGAGCGATGAATTAGCACATGCAAAAGTATAGGAAAGTTGTATTAGAATAAAAAACAAGTTTTATGTATTTTTTTAGAAACATCAGTCTTAAAAAGTCAAAAAAATTGTAGAAACTTGGCAACATTGCTCGGAAAATACTAATTAAGACATGAAACGGCATATGAAAGTGCTATTAAGAAAAACCAATTTTTATGTTTTTTTTAAACCTTTACAGTCTTAAAAAATTAAAAAAAAAATCAACACTTGGCAACATTGCTCGGATTTTCAAGAATAAAAAAATATGGTTGTGTAGCTTAAGATAAATTAATTAGAATCTGCAACAGTACAGCGGAGATTCTATTGAAACAAATCAGATTTTCTGTGTTTTTGGAATCTTCAGAATCTTAAAAATTTTCAAAAAAATTGTAACAACTTGGCAGCATTGCTTGAAAAAGACTATGTTACGTGGCTCTCGACCGCGACTAGGCTCAACCGGGAAGGCCGTGGGTGATGGTACAAAAAAAAAATAAAATAAAATTGGAGCCTACAATTAATTAAATTTATTTAGAACGGGGGAGGTGAGTGACTGTGTGACTGAGTACAAACTATCGATCTAAATATAAAAAAGAACCTAAATAAGTTACTATTCTAACCCTATGAGTACTTCGCGTCCGTACCGCAACAGTGCCGTTCCTGGCGGTGGCGAAGATGCCGAACGCGAATATACTTAAATAATAAAAAAAATACAAGAAAATAAAATAATACCTAATACCCTATAACTAACGCCTCTCCTTCTTTCCGGAGTCCAACACGGCGTCCTCACTTAGAAAATGGGGTGGGGCGGGGCGGCTAGTTGACCTTCGTCCAAACTTCACACAGAAAAAAAACCTTTCCACGCCAAGAGCGCAAAAAGATGGCAACACGTAGAAAAGAGGAGGGAAAAAAAAAAACCCAACGGTAAAAGTAAAGCGAAGACGAAAAAGAAAAAAGGCCTGAAAAGAAGATTGACTAAATTTTCGATCCAGAACCCAATCCAGTAATTACCTCTGATGGTGTGCGGCCTTAAAGTAGATTTTCGGGGGTCTCAAAAACACAGGACACACGTCCTCGTTCCCAAATGCGGTGGCCTCAAATCGTCTCTAACGCAATTTGGAGAAGAGTAATGCCACAACTGGCTAAAATAAGGGCTCTACCTCCAAAAATGGCCCCTTCGCACTGGATACCCTGAAAACACTTGCACCCGTTCCCAACGACTCGAAAAATCAAAATGGAGTCCCTCCTGGTTTTTTTTTTCCTTTCTGTGGCATGCGCGGTCTGAAATACCCAAATTGATTGAGGGAGGGGAAAATATCGATACCCCGAATCAATGAGAGCTGTCAACTAACCTCACAAACTCATGTAAATAAACAAAATCAACCAAAATCGTATCAACTAATTAAGACATTCAATAGTATTTAGGAGTTCTATTGACAAAAAATCAAATTTTATGTTTTTTTTGGACGCGTTCCAATCTTAAAAAAAAATCCAAAAAATGTTAACTACTTGGCAACATTGCTCCGGTTTTCAATAATAAAAAAAATTGTTTATCAAGTGTAACAAGAGACTAATTAGGACATGCAGCAGTATAAGGAAGTTGCTTTGGAAAAAAAAGTTTTATGTATTTTTTTTTTTTGAAACATTGAGGTGGTCTTAAAAAATCCAAAAAATTGTAACAACTTAGCAACGTCGATCGGATTTTCACGAATAAAAAAATAAGATTGCTTAGCTTAAGAAGAGACTAATTAGCATATGCAATGGTGTAGCGAAGTTCTATTGAAAAAAATCAAATTTTATGTTTTTTTTTGGAAGCGTTCCAATCTTAAAAAAAAATCAAAAAATGTTAACTACTTGGCAACATTGCTCCGGTTTTCAATAATAAAAAAATTGTTTATCAAGTGTAACAAGAGACTAATTAGGACATGCAGTAGTATAGGGAAGTTGCTTTGGAAAAAAAAAGTTTTATGTATTTTATTTTGGAAACATGGAAGTAGTCTTAAAAATTCAAAAAAATAGTAACAACTTAGGAGCGTCGATCGGATTTTCACGAATAAAAAAATAAGATTGCTTAGCTTAAGAAGAGACTAATTAGCATATGCAATGGTATAGCGAAGTTCTATTGAAAAAAATCAAATTTTATGTTTTTTAGAATCTGTAATCTTATTTTTTTTTAATTCTAAAAACTTGGCAACATTGCTCGAATAAGACTAATTAAGACATTCAACAATATTTAGGAGTTCTATTGACAAAAAATCAAAGTTTATGTTTTTTTTTGGAAGCGTTCCAATCTTAAAGAAAAATCAAAAAAATGTTAACTACTTGGCAACATTGCTCCGGTTTTCAATAATAAAAAGAAATGTTTATCAAGTGTAACAAGAGACTAATTAAGACATGCAGCAGTATAGGGAATTTGCTTTGGAAAAAAAAAGTTTTATGTTTGAGGTAGACTTAAAAAATAAAAAAAATTGTAACAACTTAGCAACGTCGATCGGATTTTCACGAATAAAAAAATAAGATTGCTTAGCTTAAGAAGAAGCTAATTAGGATGTGCAATGGTATAGCGGAGTTCTATTGAAAAAAATCAAATTTTATGTTTTTTAGAATCCTTAGTCTTATTTTTTTTTTCTTCTAAAAACTTGACAACACTGCTCGGAAAAGACAAGTTAAGATATGCAACAGAATATGGGAGTTCTACTAACAAAAAATCCAAATTTTGTGTTTTCTTAACCTGTATAGTCTTAAAATTTTTTTAAAAATTATAACAACTTGGCAACGTTGCTCGTATTTCAAAAAATAGAAAGATATGCTTGCGAAGCCTACGAACCGACTTATTAGGATACAATAGTACAGGAGACTTCTATTGAAAAAATCAAAATTTATGTTTTTTTTTGGAACCTCCAGTCATTTTTAAAACTGAAGGTTCCAAAAAAAAACAAAGAAATTGGAACAAGTTGGCAACGTTGCATATCGAAAATTGCATAACGCGCGGTGTTACGAAAAAATTAACTTGTTAGATATTTTTAGAGGAAACCTTTGTGGTGTTGGTCACATTTTAATGGAAGCAAAGCATTGTCTAAATTCTTCTGATTAATTTCTATCCTTTGTTAAAACCTTGTTGTTGTTAGCATAAACGAACCTTCACCGACTACAAACCACTCAACAAAATCTCTCAATCTCCCATACACTCTTGCTAACAATTTTTTTCCACACTTACATAGCCCACACCACTCAAGGTCCACCTCTTGCATATTATGTCATTCCCGATAAGATTAACTCAGCCATTCCGCTGCACACCTTGAAATACCGTTTATAACAGTTTCTCTATTTTTCCGCAATGCCAATCACAATGCTAACAACACCAATTGACAAAACCTAATCTCTTCCACAAACACCGACGTAAGGTCATTTCCACACTTTCTTCCCATCCCGATTTCACAAACGTACAACTTATAGAAACCACGAACAAGGTAATAAACCAATCGCGCTAAAAAACGAAAGTCAAACTATCAATAAAACACTAATTGGCGAAGTTCGACGACCTTGCCAAAAATAGCTGAAGATCTTCTGCTTGCAGATACCTCGGCCTTGCTGCAAACTGCGAACGATCGTGTTCCTGTGCCTCGTAGTCTTCCTTTTAGTACAAATATCGTCAACAGAGAGATGTAAGTAGTCAAACTATTGTCTGTGTCAAAATGTCTACATGTGTTGTTTTTAGCTACACGCCGCCGCCTGCGCCGCCCCCTCAAATCCGTCTCTCACAGCGTATCGGTGTCCAAAGACCAAGAAGTCTCCTCCAGCGTCAACAGATTTAGATTGCGGTCAAGACCGAACCACCGAAAAACCGACAACTCGTTGACCACCACGGCCAAGAAGGACAAAGATGGGTACAAAGTGGTTTGTTACTACACCAACTGGTCGCAGTACCGCGTCAAGATCGGGAAATTCACCCCTGAGGATATCATCCCGGATCTGTGCACCCACATCATCTTCGCTTTCGGGTGGTTGAAAAAGGGGAAATTGTCGTCGTTCGAGAGCAACGACGAAACGAAGGATGGAAAAGTGGGGTTGTATGAGAGGATCCAGAAGCTGAAGAAGGCGAACCCGAACTTGAAGACGTTGCTGGCTATTGGTGGATGGTCCTTTGGTACCCAGAAGTTCAAAGATATGGCGTCTACGCGCTACGCCAGACAGACCTTTATCTTCAGCGCTATCCCGTTCCTGAGGGATCGAGGGTTCGACGGGTTGGACATCGATTGGGAGTACCCGAAAGGTTCCGACGATAAGAAGAACTACGTTTTGTTGCTGAAGGGTAAGCTGGTTTTTGGTCAAACTGGTTTGGGTTTTCAGCGCTTAGTAACAAGGTTCTTGATCTAGTTTTAATGGTTCTTTGGGTTCGACGAAACAACAGAGGTTCACAATGGTGATGAATTGATGATTAAGCGAGGAACTCATCCGTGCGTAGGCGTTGCTTGAGTTATTATAATAAGAATACAAATTATACAGTTAGTCGAGGCAGACAGTGACCCATATTATGAACAAAGATTTATTATCTAGAGAAAATTACATGGTTCAAGCGTGTGGAACAAATTTGTTGACAGAACGTGTTATTTTTTTTAATAAGATGATCGTTTTATTAGAGAGGAAGATTTTTTGCTGATTACTGTTGCGTATTTTTGAACCAAGGTTGCGAGATTGCTTCTGTTTGATATCTTCTCATTAATGTTTTCATTAAGCAATCGTTTTGACATTTAGCACTTTTATTATTAGCCGCTTGAACGCTGGTGGAAAATATAACACCATAAAACGCGACTTTCAAGAAGAGAAACTAATTTTGCACGCCACATTCGCATAAAAGGTTTAATATCTAAATCATGACCTAAGGTAATTATTGTACACAGATTTGTTTTTATTAATTAGCCGCTCTAAAAAGCAGGTCGTTATCGTTAGAAGGCTCGTTTTTGTTTCCTGAGTGTAAGCTAAATTAGATTTTTTTTTTATTTTATAAAATAAGGTACTCGTGTATTTGTGATTTATGAATCCGTGTTGAGTTTTCACAATTGACGTCCAGATTTTTGGACAAAAAAATCAAAATTGTATCAGATGCCGCATGCCCTGAAATATTGAAATGTTTCAAGGTTCATTTTTTGATATCACAATTTTTCGTTTTTTTATTTTCTTTTATTTTTCAATTTTTCTTTCGATTTTATAATCCTTGGTTTATTCAATTTTTCAAATTTCATTCTTCAATTTTCGATTCCCCGATTTTCCAATTTTTAAATGTTGTAATTTTGGAATTTTCGGTTATCCGATTTTCGTATTTCTTCAATTTTCAAGTTCCGGATTTCCAAGTTTGAGTTTTTCAAAGTTTTCATTTTATAGTTTTTAATTTTTTGATTTTTGATTTCTCATTTTTACGGTTTTGCAATCTTTTGAAACACTGAACAACTAAAACTCGAGAAACTTGAAAATCCAAAAAAATTAATGGATCAAAAAATTAGAAAAAAGAAAATACGAGTCGAATCCAAAAATTGGAAAACCCAAAAATTGTAAAAACTGAAAAATCATGAAACTGAAAAATCTAAGACTGAGAAAATTAAAAAATCGAAACATTGAAAACCGAAAAATTACAAATAGAAAAATTGAAAAATCCAAAATTGAGAAATTTCACCCTGGAAAAAAACAGAATTATAAAATCAGAACATCGAAAAACATAAAAATTTTAAAAATAAAGAAAATAGAAAACCGAAACGAAAAACTGCAAATAAAAAAATTGAAGGACCGGTAAATGTAAAAATGAAAGACCGATAACTGTGAAAATGAAAACTCGAAATCGAAACACTGAAAAATACAACAATTGGAAAAATAAAGAAAATAAAAAAGTGAAACGAAAAATTGCAAATCCAAAAAATGGAAAATTTCACACTAAAAAAAAAATTATAACCTCAGAAGATTCAAAAACTGAAAAATTGAAAAAATAAAGAAAATGAAAAACTGGAACGAAAAACTGCAAATCTAAAAATTAAAAAAATTACAAAGGAAAACTCCTGAAATTGCAAATAGAAAAATTTGGAAAATCGAAAAGTGAAGAAATTAAAAAAGAAAAAAACGACGTAAAATTTAAAAACAAAAAAATGGAAAATTAAAACATCCAAATCTTAAAAAATCGAAAACTCAAGAATTTAAAAATGAAAAAAATTAAAGAAACAAAAAAAATGGAAAATTGAAACATTGCAAATCGACAAATTGAAGAAGCGCAAAATTGAAAATATTGAAATTGAAAAAACAAAAAATTATAAAATTGAAAAATCGAAAAATTGTAAAATTAAATAAAAAAAACCAAAACGAAAAGTTCCAAATCGAAAAATTGCAAAATTAAAAATTGAAAATTCGACAAGTTCAAGTCAAAAACTACGGAGTCTAAAAATTGAAAAATTCGGGAGTTGGAAAATTCAAAAACCGAAAATTTCAAAATTAAAAACTGGAAAAGTTGTAAATTCGAAAAATTATAAAAACGAAAAATTGAAAAATCATGTAACTGAAAAAACCTGATTTCCAATTTTAGGTTTTTCAAAGTTTCCATTTTATATTTTTTAATTTTTTCATTTAAGATTTCTCATCTATACGATTTTGCAAGTTTTTCCATTTTACTTATTCAAAAAGTTCAAAATTGAAAAAATAAAAAAAAATGGAAAAAATTGGAATCGAAAACTGAGGAACGAAAAATTGAAAGACTAAAACTCCGGAAAATTGAAAATCCAAAAAAAAATAATGAATCGAAAAATTGGAAGGAAGAAATTATGACTTGAATCGAAAAACTGTAAAATTGAAAAATTGAAAATCATGAAAGTGAAAAATCTAAGTTTGAAAAAATTAAAAAATCGAAAAATTGAAAAATTTCACCTTGAAAAAAGAAGAATTATAAAATCAGGACATTGAAAAACAGAAAAATTTTAAAAATAAAGAAAATGGAAGAACGAAACCAAAAATTGAAGGCGAAAAACTGAAAAATTAAAAATTGAAAGGTTCCACACTGAAAAATGGAAAATTTTCAAAATATGAAGAAAACGAAAAATTTAAAAATGGAAAACAAAAAGTTATAAAATCAGAACATGAAAAATTAAAAAATTACAAATCGAAAGTTTGAGAAAACTAAAAATTAAAAGACTAAAAATTGGAAACTCGAAAAATTTTAAATCAAAAAATTCAAATATCTAAAAAATGAAGAAACAAACAAAGGAAGAACTGAAAAATCGCAAATCGAAAAATTACAGAAATAAAAAACCGAAAAAATTAAAATTGAGAAAACAAAAAATGATAAAATCGAAACACTGAAATAAATCGAATATTTGAAAAATTAAAGAAAATAAAAAATCGAATTGGAAAATCTAAAAAATGAAGAATCGAACAATGGCAAATCGAGAAATTGCACAAGTGAAAAGCCGAAAAAATTAAAATTGAGAAAACGAAAAATTACAAACTCATAACAATGAAAAACTGAACAATTGGCAAAATAAAGAAAATGAAAATCTGAAACGAAAAACTGCAGATCGAAAAGCTGAAAACGAAAAGTTATAAAATCAGAACATCAAAAAAAAAATGTAAAAATAATAAACCGAAACAAAAAATTACAAATCGAACATTTGAAGAACCGAAAATTAAAAGATTAAAAATTGAAACTCGAGAAACTTTAAATCGAAAAATTCCAAAACCTAAAAAATGGAGAAACAAACAAATGAAGAATTGAAAAATCGCAAATCGAAAAATTACGGAAATAAAAAACCGAAAAAATTAAAATTGAGAAAACAAAAAAATGATAAAATCGAAACTGAAAATTCGAATAATTGAACAATGAAGAAAACAAAAAATCGAAATGAAAAATTGAAAATTCAAGAAACAAAAAATCATAAAATCAGAAGAACTGAAAAGTGGCAAATCGAAAAACTGCAGAAATGAAAAAGCGAAAAATTTAAATAGACAAATCAAAAAATTATAAAATCAAAACGCCGAAAAGTAGAATAATTGAAAAAATAAAGAAAATATAAAATCGTAATGAAAGATTGCAAATCGAAAAATTCAAGAAACTCATATTGAAAAATTCCAGAATTTAAAAATTGAAAAATTTCACATTGAAAAAACAAAAAATTATAAAATCATAATACTGAAGCTCCAAAAATTAAAAAAAATTAAAATTGAAAACAAAAAGTTATAAAGTCACAACACAAAAAAATTGAAAAATTGTAAAAATAATAAGCCAAAACGAAAAATTACAGATCGAAAATTTGAAGAAACGAAAAATTAAAAAATTAAAAATTGAAAACTCGAGAAATTTTAAATCGAAATTTTCAACATCTAAAAAATGAAGAAACAAAGAAATGAAGCATTGAAAAAATCGCAAATTGAAAAGTTGCAGAAATGTAAAACAGAGAAAATTAAAACTGACAAAACAAAAAAATTATAAAATCGAAACAATGAAAAATCGAATAATTGAAAAAATAAAGAAAATAGAAAATCGAAATGAAGGATTGACAATTCAAAAAACTCAAATCGTTACAAAATTTCAAAATTGAAAAATTATAAAAAATGAAAGATTTCACACTCAAAAAGCGAAAAATTATAAAATCAACACTGAAAAATTGAAAAATAAAGAGAATGAAAAATTTAACGAAAAACTGCAAATCGAAAAATTAAAAAATTTAAAATGAAAACAAAAGTTATAAAATCAGAGCAACAAAAAATGAAAAATTGTTAAAATAATAAACCGAAACGGAAAATTACAAAAAGAAAATTTTACGAAATGAACAAAAATTTTAAATCTAAAAATTGGAAAATCTAAAAAATGAAGAATTGAACAATCGCAAATCGAGAAATTGCACAAATGAAAAACCGAAAAAATTAAAATTGAGGAAACAAAAAAATTATAAAATCGAAATACTGAAAATCTGAAACGAAAAAGTGCTGATCGAAAAACTGAAATCGAAAAGTTATAAAATCAGAACATCAAAAAAATCAAAAAATTGTAAAAATAAGAAACCGAAACAAAAAATTACAAATCAAACATTTGAAGAAACGAAAATTAAAAGATTAAAAATTGAAACTTGAGAAACTTTAAATTGAAAAATTGTAAAAACCAAAAAATTAAGAAACAAAAAAATGAAGAATTGAAAAATCGCAGATCGAAAAAATTGAAGAAACGAAAAACTGAAAAAATTGAAATTGACAAAATAAAAAAATTATAAAGTCCAAACAGTGAAAACTTGCAAATCGAAAAATTGAAAAATAAAAATTGAAAACTCAAGAAACTCAAATCGAGAAATTCAAACATTAAAAACAGATAATTGAAAACTCTTGAAATTGTGAATCGAAAAATTCCAAATTCAAGAAATTTAAACATCCAAATATTGGAAAACCAAAAAACTGAAAATTGTCAAAATGAAAACGCTAAGACAAATCACAAATCGAAAACTTGAGGAAATGAAAAATTAAAGAATCGAAAACTGAAAAATTAAGAATTGAAAACTCGAAAAATTCAAGTGAAAACAAATATAAGAGCTGGAATTGTTGAGTTCTGTCGAAATAACCAATAACCTTCGACCAGTTTTTTCTGAAGTTTTAATACAATTGTGTTTATTCATTTATGATGAAAATCTTTCACCTCATTTTCATTCAACTCTAAACCTGTACTTGCTTACACGAAAATACATTTCATTATCTATATCATTAACGCACCTACACTTATAGCTTATATCATGATCACCACACGCTTTATCTTTTATCTTAACACCCCTATCACTCTCCTGACTCCCAATTTTTCCAGAACTCCGCGAAGCCTTCGAAGCCGAAGCCCAAGAAATCAAAAAACCCGTCCTCCTCCTATCCGCCGCCGTCCCCGTCGGCCCCGACAACATCAAAGGCGGCTACGACGTCCCCGCCGTTGGGACCTACTTAGACTTCATCAACTTGATGGCTTACGACTTCCACGGTAAATGGGAACGGGAAACCGGCCACAACGCCCCATTGCACTCACCCAGCAGCGACAGCCAGTACCAGAAACAACTCAACGTGGAACACGCCGCCAACCTATGGGTGAAACTGGGAGCCCCTAAGGAAAAAATGGTCATCGGGATGCCCACGTATGGACGCTCGTTCACCCTGTCCAACACTGCGAAATTCGGGGTACATTCGCCCGCCAGTGGCGGCGGAAAAGAAGGAACGTACACTAAAGAGTCCGGGTTTTTGGCGTACTACGAGGTACTAAGTAGCTTGACGGGTGGATTTTGGTTGGTTGTAAACGTGGTGTGTTTTTGGTGTAGGTGTGCGAGATGCTCCATAATGGTGCTACGTACATCTGGGATGAAGAGATGAAGGTACCGTATGTGGTGAACGGGGATCAGTGGATTGGGTTCGACGACGAGAAATCAATTAGGCATAAGATGAAGTGGATTAAAGATAATGGGTTCGCTGGGGCGATGGTTTGGACCATCGACATGGACGATTTCAGTGGTACTGTGTGCGGTGGCGAAGTCAAATATCCGTTGATCGGAGCCATGAGGTAAGTCGTACCGTTGTGGTACCACGAAGACAATTTGTGTTTTGTTTTTAGAGAAGAACTGCGCGGAATTTCGCGTGGTAAGAACGCCAAAGACATGGACTGGCAGAAGATCGCCGGCGCGGTGGAAGAAGAAGACGAAGACGTTATCGAGAAACCGGCTCCCGTCAAGATTTCGGTACAGGAAGTACTTAACAGAGTTAGGAAACCCACGAAGAAACTACACTTGAAAAATTCATCAGCCGTTAGCAAAAAAGGTAAGTGCAAAATCGAGCGCATGTAGTGTTACGTAAAACGTGTCGACGACTTTGGAATAAAATAACACGTGTAAAAAATAAAGCAGCAAGTGACGGGATATTCGATTACCGAGACGACGGCTTCGGGCTATTTTGCGTGTTATGCAATAAGTAGGTGAATGAATGAGCAGGCTGCAGGTTGAAACGTGACCAGTTAATTCTTTCGCTACTGGACTAATAATGCTGGAACAGCTGTGGAGCTGCAAGAGAACGGCGGTACTTGAGTGAAATGTCACTGGATTGTGTGCGGGTTGGGTCCACAATTCAAATACTTGGAATTTTTTGCAAAGTACCACCTAAATGTTGGTACTTCGGAGACTGATTTGTCTACTTATTTAGAGAACAAACTTTGTTGTGACAATTTCAAAGTTGAATCATTACCAAAAAGGGAGAATGCCAAGAGCATTGCATACAAGGTCACCGTGGATAGTAGTATTGTCAAGAATTTAATGGATGCTAGTGCTTGGCCAGAGAACGTTATTGTCAAAAAATTTTATTTTTTAGCGAAAAAAGGAGAGAGACTAGACCTAAAAGAAAAGAAAGAAAAGTCGATAAGTCCAGCAAATTAGAGGATGGTACATTCTCTGTGTATTACCAAAATGTACGCAGTTTACGCAGTAAAATAAAGGACTTTAACTGTGGGGCATTAGCAAATGAGTATGATGCTATAGCTTTAACAGAAACCTGGTTATCATCTGATTTTCACAATAACGAAATTTTATATCCTAGATACTTGATATTTAGAACCGATAGGAGTAGTCTTAACAGCACAAAGGAATTAGGAGGCGGTGTAATCTTAGCGGTAAGCGCTAAATATAAGTGTATCCAGTTAACCTCTCCTATATCATCAGTCGAAGAAGTGTGGGTAAAAGTGCTTACGGGAGTGCGTGATCTAATACTGGGATGCGTTTACATACCTCCACGAAGTGAAATTTGTAGGTATACTAATCACATTCATACCCTTAAATCTATATTATTTTTCGCGAAAGGTTGTAGGCGCTGCGATCGTGTGTGCTCTCATATTTTAGTGAAAATAGTGCGTTTTTTTTTCCACTATTGCAAGTGTATTTGGTACCAAATGGAAGACTTCAGTGTCCTTTATTGATGGTATAAATTTCATCTCTCCTTATTCTGTCTCACTGGATTAATTAACACTTTTTACCGCCGCGAAATTACTTATCACCAGAGTTTTTCTCACCCACATAAGGTCGAGCAATCAATTAGTTTTTCAGTTTATGGATATTAACCTCTGTGAATTCCTCTCAGACACCTTTCCGTGGCCTTCTTGTGTTGTCTTTGTTAGCCACCTTGACGGGCCCCTAGGTGCGAAAATTTGTATCCCCGTTTATTTCCCTATTTAATTAGTAATTAAAAATACTGGTAGAATGACCCTTTGTGTAAATTGCGGCACAATATGTGCAACAAACGCTGGCAAGACACAATGTGATGGTTGTCAAGGTACGGTTCATCTGTCATGCATTGGTATCTCTGAAAAGGAAGCAACAATGACGAGATCTAAGTCCAGATCCATAAAGATTGTATGCAATCAGTGCAATAACAATATGTCCTGCCTTAAAGATCTCAGAACACTTATTACATCTCTTCAGCATGAGTTGTCATCTTCAATTAACCAACTTAAAACTGAGTTTCAGTCCCAACTTGATGACATTAACGTCAAACTCACCGAGTCATCACAACAACGTCAGTCCACACCTGTACTGGAAGAAGTTGTCCAAGAAGTATTGGAACGCCAGAAACGTGCCAAAAATATTGTTATATTTAATTTACCTGAGCAGTCCAATAAATCTTCTGATGAGATAAGAAAGGAAAATGATAATCTTCTAGTTAAAAATGTTTTGAACATCACCAACCCCAATGTCGATTTCGAAAATTTCAGTGTACGCAGAATGGGTAGATTTAATGAATCTCGCAATCGACCCATTAAGGTGTTTTTTAAGAACGAATCTGACGTTTTCAGTGTAGTCCGGAGTTCTAAAAATCTCAAAAACGATCTGCGGTTCAAAAACGTCAATATTTCTTTTGATAGGACACCTAAGCAATTAGAATTATATAATCAACTTAAAACAGAGATGAACGGCCGTATTGCTAGAGGCGAATCTAATCTAAAAATTCGATATTACAATGGCACTCCTAAAATTATACGTTTAAACTGAAAGCGCCACCCAGTTACACTACTCCTCTCAATTGTTTTTACCAAAATGTCCGAGGTTTGCGCTCAAAAGTTAACTATTTTTATAACAATATATATATATGTGCAATTATAATTTTATAGCTTTAAGTGAAACCTGGTTAAGCGACGAAATTCAGAATAGTGAACTTTTTCCTGATAACTTTGTTGTCTTTAGAAAAGATAGGAATCAACAGTTGACGCATGTTTCAAGGGGCGGTGGAGTTCTTTTCGCTGCGGAAAGTAAATATATGTGTTCTCAATTGGACCTCTCCCCCATTACTAATACTCTACCATTTATCGATATTGTTGGCGTGAAGATCTCTTTTGATACTAGTACTTGTTTATTTGTTTTTGTTCTTTACATAACCCCATCTGTGTCCGTTAATGATTACCAATTATTTCTTGACATACTTAGTAATATTGAGGAAACTCACAACGACAGAGTTATAGTATTGGGTGATTTTAATGCGCCAAATTTTTGCCAAAAGTCCAACGATAGTATAAGTACACACTTAAATAATTTTAGTCACTTTTATAACTTTACCCAATTTAATAACGTGCCAAACAAATTCAATTGTACCTTAGATTTAGTTTTCGCTAATCTTAATTGTAATGTGACCCGATCGGAGCACGCTCTTGTCATTGAAGATGACTACCATCCAAGTTTAGATTTAAGCTTTGAGGTAATAAAAAAGCCATTTGTTAATTTCAGCACGAACACCGATTCAGAACAATTTAACTTTATGAAAGCTAATTTTTTGTTATTGTATCAAGACCTTTTATCTGCAGATTGGTCTTTCTTGTATGACATTAAGGATGTAAACGCTGCTTGTTCTTCTTTCTACAACGCTTTGAACAAAATTTTTACCAAGTCTGTTCCCAAATATAGAATTAATTCCAACAATTGTCGCAAATACCCTCCATGGTTTGATCGTGAGATAATTGACTCGCTAAAGTTGAAATATTCTTTTCATAAAAAATATAAACGTTTCAAAACTGAACATTATTTGATCAAATTCAGATACTACAGATCACTCTGTAAGACACTCATCACATCTGCATACCAACATTAATTAGTAATATTCAACATTCGCTCTCAACCGATCCGAAGAAGCTCTGGGAATATATTCGTAAGAAAAAGGGTCACACAAGAATTCCAGGGGTAATGTACTACAACGATAGTGAGCTGTCCAGTCATTCCGCTATTATAAACGCGTTCAATGATTTCTTCAATTCCGTATATATTGCTTCCGATTTTAGCCAGCAGTGCGCTGTAACAAAATGTTTCTCTAGTACTCCCATATCTGTTACATCTATCTCAGAGGATGAAATTCTAGAAGCCTTAAAGCGATCTAAGAATTCACTTACAGCCGGCATAGACGAAATTCCAAGTTTTATTTTAAAAGACTGCGCTTGTGTTTTGGTCAAACCGTTACATGTCCTGTTCAATCTAATTATAAGAAATTCACAGTTTCCTGAAATATGGAAAAAAGCCAGTGTCACCCCTGTTTTTAAGAAGGGCGATCCAACATTAATTCCTAATTACAGAGCAATAGTTTTGCTTTGCAATTTTTCTAAAATATTCGAGTCAGTAATTTATAAACACATCTATTTTCAAATAAAAAGTTTGCTAGCAACTGAACAACACGGTTTTGTCGACAAACGATCTACTGTTACAAATCTCGCCTGTTTTAGCCAATTTGTATCCGAAGTCATTGATAAACAAGGTCAAGTAGACGTTGTCTATACAGACTTTCAAAAAGCTTTTGATCAAATTGACTATTACATTCTTCTTAACAAATTACAGTCGTACGGCTTCACTCAGTCCTTATTATCACTGCTCGAATCTTATTTACTCAACAGAGTACAATTTGTCAGATACTGTAACTTTTACTCCTCAAGCTTTTATTTCTCATATTCATCAATGATATAGTTGATGATATCTCTTGTGGTAAATTGTTATTCGCCGATGATATGAAACTTTACCTTGAAATACGTGCTCCTGGTGACGCTCTCACTTTGCAAAAAAATCTTGACATCATCTCAAACTGGTGTGCACAAAATCGCTTAACCCTTAACGTATCCAAATGCAATGTAATGACTTTCTCGAGAAAATCTAAATTATTACTACATGATTATTCGTTAAATGGAGAGGTTATAAATCGTGTTGATTCAATCAAGGACCTCGGTGTTCTATTTGATCAAAAATTCTATTTCACTGATCACATTTCTGATACTTTGGGCATGGCTTACAAAACTTATGGTTTCATTTATAGGAATTGCAAAGATTTCACCGATGCATCTGTTCTGCTACTCCTTTATGCATCATTGATTAGATCCAGGCTGGAATACTGTGCATTGATATGGTACCCTATATACAATATTCATAAAGATCACATTGAATCGTTGCAAAGGAAATTCCTTAAATTCATTTCTTATGTTGTTGATGGTGTTTATCCCCCTATTGGTCTTGATCATTCGCTTCTTTTGGCAAGATTTAACTTAACAACCTTAAATACCAGACGTGCTATAAGTGTTATTCGCTTCCTTTACAATCTTGTCAACTACCGAATAGACTGCATTTATCTTTTAAATAAACTTAGTTTTTTAGTGCCTCGCATGTGCGCAAGGAACTCACGTACTTTTTATTCTGCACCTAAAAGAACTAATGTTTTAGTTAAGTCACCGATAGCGCTGATGATGGATTTATTTAATAGCTTAAACAGTGTATGTGATATTCATTTTGACTCCATTTACAGAATTTCGGAAATTGTTATTACGGTTTTTGAGAAATAACTTTTTCTTTTTTACCTTCCCTTGTTTCTTTTTCACTTTAATATATTTTTTTCTGGTTAAATAAGTTTAATTTTAAGTTTATGCCTACATTCTTTGTTAGAACTAAGTATTTTATTGTTTCCAGTAATTGGGTGTAATTTGCCTGTTGGAAATAAATTATTATTATTATATTATTATTATTATTATTATTATATGTGAGAAGCACAAAGATTGTGACATCGTGGTGCTCGGTGATTTTAATCTACCAAATATTAGCTGGATAACATCTGAAAACTCACCTGGTCTGATTCCGCATAGGTTAACTCTCCAAAGTGAGATATATCTTTGTGACAGCTATTTCAGTCTTTGTTTTGACCAATTAAATAATATTAGGAATTTACATAATCATATTTTAGATCTTTGTTTTGTTAATTGTGACAATGTTGAAGTTAAATGCTGTGAAAATTTAACTAAACTTGATATATGCCATCCCACTTTTAGTGTTAATATCAGCATCTTAGATAATAGCGCCATCTTTAATGATAAAGTGTGGTATTATGATTTTAAAAATGCCAGATATGATAGTATTGTTGAATATTTCAAAAATATCAACTGGGCAGATCTTTTCAACTGCCAATTGCTTGATGAATCAATTTGTAAATTTTATGAACTTATGTATGTCGCCATTGATATGTATGTTCCACTTAGATGTAAACGTTCCTCAACCTTCCCATCCTGGTTTAACAGCGAACTAATAGAGCTATTAAGACATAAAAAGATTGCTCATAAGCGGTATAAAAACACGCGAAGTATCGAAGATTACTTAGAATTCTCTAATTTACGCAAACAGTGTAAATACAAAATTTCTGAGGCGTATGATAGGTACCTATGTCATATTGAACGTGACCTATTAATTAATCCAAAAAATTTTTGGCAATTTATTCGAAATAAATCTTCTAAGGCATCCATTACACTTCCTATGACTTATAATGATACACTTTTGTCAGATTTACAACAGGTTGTTGATGCTTTTGCTGTTCATTTCTCACTCATATATAATAAAGCTAGTTGTCCCAATTCAAACTTTCATTCTGAAATTAAAATTAATACAAATTTTATTGACATCAGTGTGGAAGATGTTGATCGTTGTTTAAGTGCTCTTAATACAAACAAGGGGCCTGGTCCGGACGGAATACCTCCATTATTCTACAAAAAGACTCAATCAATTATAGCTTGGCCATTACAGTTACTGTTTAGCAAATCTTTAAATCAGGGTATTTTTCCTAGTAAATGGAAGCACACTTTTATCATACCTATTTTCAAATCAGGTGCTACCAGCAAAGTTGACAATTATCGTCCAATAACTATTCTATCTGCTGTAAGTAAAATATTTGAATCTTGCTTGATCACAAAACTAACACCTATCTTTAATTCTTTAATTATTCCTGAACAGCATGGTTTTTATAAACAACGTTCAACAGTTACTAACTTATTCAGCTACGTCAACCTCATTTTAACAGCGTTAGGTAGAGGTTCCGAGGTTCACTCAATATATATGGACTTTTCTAAAGCATTTGATAAAGTGAACCATTCCATCCTTATTCATAAATTGGAAGAGTATGGTGTATCAGGGTCCCTACTTACATGGTTTATCTCGTATATTTCCAATAGATCGCAACAGGTTAAGATAGCCAATTGTCTGTCACATATGGTGAATGCAACCTCGGGAGTTCCCCAAGGGTCAATTCTGGGGCCCCTATTATTTTTGATATTTGTTAATGACATAGGATACAAATTTGAAAGTCCTTATCGTCTATTCGCTGATGATTTAAAAATTTTTAGAATTATAAATTCTAGAAATGACGTTACAACTCTACAACGAGATCTTGGTCATCTGGAAGAGTGGTGTGTTTCTAACAATATGTTTCTAAATGAAGATAAATGTCACGCAATAAACTATAGTAGGAAGATTGTATCATGCAAGGTTAAATACATTTTAAATGGCCAAATACTTAACTTTGTTTTTGAAGTTAGAGACTTAGGTATCACTCTGGACTCGAAGTTGACATTTATACCACATTACGAAAAAATTGTGTGTAGAGCTAATAAAATCTTAGGGTGTGTAACAAGATACGGTAGTGAATTCAAAAATTTACAAACAATAAAAACTTTGTATGTTACACTAGTTAGATCGGTAACGGAGTATGGATGTATACTTTGGTCACCTCAATATAAAATCCATATCGACAGATTAGAGGCGATACAACGAAAATTTCTTAATTGTGTTAAGCATAAATTGCCTAACAATTTACAAATAGACTTCAATTACAATTTAAGTTTGAGCTATCTTGGAATGACAACATTACGTACTAGACGAAAATACTTTCAACTTTGCTTTGTTTTTAGAGTCATGAACAATCTTTTGGACTGTAACGAAATTCTGCATTCCCTATTTTTTTATGTTCCGCAGTTTGCTGTGAGGAGAAGTTCATTGTTTAGTATAGAAAGCTGTAGGAGAAACTATACTTTAAATTCTCCATTGAACACAGCACTCCGTACTTGCAATGAGTTCTCTGATTCATTGGATTTTTTTAATTGTCAATCTTATGCTGTTTTTAAAAATCGTGTCCATCATTTACTGTGTTCTTAAAGTTACTGTAAATGTAATCTGTATCATTATTATTGTAAATGGGATACTTACTTGCCCGTGAATATAGATTATTATTATTATTATTAAGAAGTATTACTGATGCTAATAATGGTTACATCAACCGCAAAAAATTATTTATTTAGGTCTTCTAAATCGGTTTTAAGAATCAAATTATTTTATTATCGACATTAGGTTTTGTGGTGTGCTAATATCTACATCAAAGAATGTTATATCCAGTTTTAGTTTTAGTTTTATTTCATGTACATCTTAAATTTTTAGTTATAAGTTATTTAATGAATTGCTTTCTTGTTTTATGTAAAAGGAGTTTCTTTTCCGTTAATAAACTATTAAACTATTTATTAAACTAAACTAAACTATAAATTTTTCTTGTCTTAGTTCGCCCGCCCCAAATCTTCTGCTACGTGACGTCGTGGTCGGCCAAGCGCCCGGGTGCCGGGAAATTCACCCCTGAAGACATCAACGCCAACCTGTGCACTCACATCATCTACGCCTTCGCCACCCTCAAAGACCACAAACTGGCGGAAACCAGCGACAAAGACCCGGATATGTACGACCGCGTGGTGGCTCTACGGGAAAAAAACCCCGACCTTAAAGTACTCCTAGCCATAGGAGGCTGGGCCTTCGGGTCCACCCCTTTCAAAGAGCTCACCAGTAACGTGTTCCGCATGAACCAGTTCGTCTACGACGCGATTGACTTCCTGAGGGAGTACCAATTCAACGGGCTGGACGTGGACTGGGAGTACCCTCGTGGCGCCGACGACAGAGCCGCCTACGTTAACCTACTCAAAGAACTGCGAGTGGCCTTCGAAGGCGAGGCCAAAACCAGCGGCCAGCCTAGATTGCTGCTCACAGCGGCGGTACCGGCGAGCTTCGAAGCCATAGCTGCCGGGTACGACGTGCCCGAGATCGCCAAGTACCTCGACTTTATCAACGTGATGACCTACGACTTCCACGGACAGTGGGAGAGGACGGTGGGGCACAACTCGCCGCTGTTCCCGCTTGAGAGCGCCACCAGCTACCAGAAGAAACTGACGGTGGTAAGTACGGTACGACTTTTGGATTTTTGTGATGACGGTACTGGGGTAGGATTACTCGGCGAGGGAGTGGGTCAAGCAAGGAGCGCCTAAGGAGAAACTGATGATTGGTATGCCTACGTATGGACGAAGCTTCGAATTGGTGAATACTACGCAGTTCGATATCGGGGCTCCGGCCAGTGGAGGTGGTACCCCTGGAAGGTACACGTCGGAGGCCGGGTTTATGAGCTTCTACGAGATCTGTGACTTCTTGCACGAAGACAACACGACTCTAGTGTGGGATAATGAGCAGCAGGTGCCTTTTGCCTATAGGGAGAACCAGTGGGTGGGCTTTGACGATGAGCGCAGTTTGAAAACTAAGGTGGGTACTTTTTGCAATTTAATGTTGAAATTGATGACGTGATCTCAAAATTTACTTCAACATTACATAGATAACTTTATTTTAACTTATGAAAAAATAAAATTCGCAAAATCAGAAATCTTTTGATATCACAGTTTTTCGTTTTTCATTTTTCTTCGATTTTACAATTTTTTGATTTCGCAGTTTTTCTTTTTTTAAATAAAGAAACGACAAATTGAAACAATAGAAAACGAATTGAATTCAAAACTTGGAAATCAAAAATTGAAAAAACGAAAAATTAAAAACTCTATTGTCTGTTTAAAAATTAAAAGACCACTCAACCGACGACATTATCTAGGGAGAAGAATTGAGGTTAGGGTGAATTTAGTTTTTATTCAAAAGGCGTTGTTGTCATGTATTTTACTTTGACATTTTTTTTGATGAAATTTCAAATTTGAAGTTTCTTGTACTACCAACCTGTTAGTGTAAAAATAAGCCCTAGAGAAGTTTTATTTGGTACCAACTTAATTCAACAGGTGGTGGTTTTTTAATTTTTGAGTAAATTGAAAAAAAGTAAAACTAATAAATCGGAAAACTGAAAACAAAAATTTTAAATGTTAATACTGAAAAAAAAAGGAAAATTTAAAATCAGGACTTTGAAAAACCAAACAATTGAAAAAATTAATGGAATAAAACACCGAAACAAAATTGCAATTTTTCGTTTGGGTGTTTTAGTTTCTTTATTTTTTTAATTTTTAGATTTTTCAAATTTTTGTTTTGCAATTTTTCGGTTTTCAAGTTTCTAATTTTTCATTTTTAGATTTTTTACTTTCAAAATTTTAAGGAATGGAAAATTAAAGAATCGAAAAATTGAAAAATAAAAAACTCAAAAATAAAAATTGTAAAATCAAAAATTTAAGAAACGAAAAATTAAGAATCGAAAAATTGAAAAACTCAAGAAAATTTAAATCCGAAAATTAAAAAATCGAAATTTTTTGAAAATAAAGCAAATTAAAAAGCTAAACAAAAATTTACAAACCGAAAATTTGAAGAAATGAAAAAATTGAAAAATTTCACATTGAAAAAAGGGAAAAATGATAAAATCAGGATATTGAAATACCGAAAAAATTGAGAAAATAAAAAAAATAAAAAAACCGAAACAAGAAATTGCAAAATAAAAATTTGAAGAAACGAAACCTTGAAATGAAAAACTGAAGAATCGAAAAATTGAAAAATCAGAAACTGAAAATTGTAAAATTGAAAATTCGAAAAAGTGAAAACCGAAAAATTTTTCGAAAACTTGAAAAATCCAAAAATTTCACATTCACATTGAAAAAAAGAAAAATTATAAAATCAGGACATTGAAATATTATAAAATTGAAAAAAATTAAGAAAATACAATATTGAAACGAGAAATTGCAAAACGAAAATTTGAAGTAATGAAAACTTGAACAATCGAAAAAATTGAAAAATTTAAAACTCGAGAAATTTTAAATTGAAGAAAAAACTAAAATTGAAGAAACAAAAATTATAAAATCATATGAAAAATCGAAAAATTGCAAAAATGAAGCAACTGAAAGACCGAAACTAAAAATTGTAAACCAAAAATTTGAAGAAATGAAAACTTGAGGAATCGAAAAATTGAAAAGTCGAATAAATGAAAAAGTTTTAAAATTTAAAATCTAAAAAATAAAAATTTTACATTGAAAAAAGGGAAAAATTATAAAATCAGGGCATTGAAATAACGTAAAATTGAAAAAATAAAGAAAATAAAAAACCGAAACGAGAAATTGGAAAACGAAAATTAAAGAATCGGAAAATCTACAAATTAAAGAAAAAATGAAATTGAAAAAACAAAAAAATTATAAAATCGGAACATTGATAAATCGAAAGATTTCAAAAATTAAGCAAATGAAAAATCGAAACAAACTGCAAACCGAAAATTTGAAGAAATAAATAACTGAAGCATCGAAAAACTGAAAAATCGAAAAACTAAGATAATAATACATAAATAAAAATACAACATTAGAAAACAAAAAATTGACTAATTTTAACAAAAAATCCAAAAGTTGAAAGATTTCACATCGAAAAAAGGGAAAAATTGTAAAAATCAGGACATTGAAATACCGTAAACTTGCAAAAATTAAAAAAAAAATTAAGAAACCGAAACCAGGAATTGGTAAACGAAAATTTGATTTTCGAAAGAAGAATAAAAAAATTGAAAAGCTCAAGAAAAGTAACATCAAAAAATTGCAAAATCTACAATGTAAAGAAAAAATAAAATTGAAAAATACAAAAATTGTAAAATCGGAAGATTGAAAAATCGAAATATTTTAGAAATAAAGCAAATGAAAAACCGAGATGAAAGATTAGAAACAGAAAATTTGAGGAAATGATAAATTGATGACTCGAAAATTGAAAAATCGGAAAACTGATTTTTTTCAAAAAAGTAGAAAATTTAAAAGTAAAAATCTGAAATTGAAAAATCGAAAAATTGAAAACGGAAAAAAGAAAAATTATAAAAATAGGACATTGAAATACCGTAAAACTGAAAATAAAGAAAATAAAAAACCGAAACGAGAAATTGGAAAACGAAAATTAAAGAATCAAAAAATTGCAAAATCTACAAATTAAAGAAAAAATAAGATTGAAAAAACAAAAAATTATAAAATCGGAACATTGAAAAATCGAAACATTTTAAAAATAAAGCAAATGAAAATCCGAAACGAACAATTGCAAACCGAAAATTTGAAGAAATGAAAAACTGAAGAATCGAAAAATTGAAAAATCGAAAAACTGAGATAACAATAAATAAATAAATATACAATATTAGAAAACAAAAAACTGAAAATTTTAAGAAATTTTAAGAAAAAATCCAAAAATTGAAAGATTTCACATCGAAAAAAAGGAAAAATTACGAAATCACGAAATCACGAAATTGAAATATCGTAAAACTAAAAAAACAAAGAAAATAAAAACCGAAACGAGAAATTGGAAAAAGAAAATTGAAGAAACGTAAACTAAAGAATCGAAAAATTGAAGAACTCAAGAAAATTTAAATCGAAAAATTGCTAAATCTTCAAAATGTAGAAAAAATAAACTTGAAAAACCAAAAAATTATAAAAACCGAACATTGAAAAATCGAAAGTTTTTAAAAATATTTAAAACAAATGAAAATTCGAAACGAACAATTGAAAACCGAAAATTTGAAGAAATAAATAATTGAAGAATCGAAAAATTGAAAAATCGAAAAACGAAGTTAATAATAAATAAAAATACAATATTAAAAAACAAAAAATTGATTAATTTTAACAAAAAATTCAAAAATTGAAAGATTTCACATCGAAAAAAAGGAAAAATTATAAAATCAGAACATTGAAATACCGTAAAACTGAAAAATAAAAAAATAAAAAACCGAAACGAGAAATTGGAAAACGAAAATTTAAGAATCGAAAAATTGAAAAACTAAAGAAAAATTAAATCGAAAAATTGCAAAATCTACAAATTAAAGAAAAAATAAAATTGAAAAAATAAAAAATTATAAAATCGGAACGTTGAAAAATCGAAACATTTTAAAAATAAATAAATAATAAATAATAAATAAATAGAGCTTTATTCCAACAGATAATTAGTTTTTAGTGGAAACAAATAACATAAACAAAAGTATTCAGAGAAAAAAATATCAAAAAACATCAAAAATAAAGCAAATGAAAATCCGAAACGAACAATTGCAAACCGAAAATTTGAAGAAATGAAAAACTGAAGAATCGAAAAATTGAAAAATCGAAAAACTGAGATAATAATAAATAAATAAAAATACAATATCAGAAAACAAAAAATTGACTAAATTTATGAAAAAAAACAAAAATTGAAAGATTTCACATCGAAAAAAAGGAAAAATTAAAAATCAGAACATTGAAATACCCTAAAATTGCAAAAATAAAGAAAATAAAAAACCGAAACGAGAAATTGGAAAGCGAAAATTTGAAGAAACCAAAATTAAAGAATCGAAAAATTGAAAATGTCAAGAAAATTTAAATCGAATAATTGCAAAATTTTCACATTGAAAAAATTTAAACTGAAAAAATATATTATAAAATTAAACAAATGAAAAACCGAAAATTTGAAGAAATGAAAAACTGAAGAATCGACAAATTGAAAAATCAGAAACAGAAAAATGTAAAATTAAAAAAACGAGAAATTAAAAATCTAAAATTGTTAAATCCAAAAATTGAAAAATTTCACATTCGCAAAACAAAGGAAAAATCGTAAATTTGAAATAACGTAAAATTGAAAAAATAGATAAAATAAAACACCTAAACGAGAAATTGCAAAAGGAAAATTTGAAGAAATAAAAAATTAAAGAATCGAAAAATTTTAAGTCGAAAAATAGCAAAATCTAAAAATTGAAAAAGAATTAAAATTGAAAAAAAAAACAAAAATTTTAGAAATCGCAAAAAGGAAAAGTCGAATAAATGAAAGTTTTAAAATCTTAAAACTGAAAAATAACAAAATATTTAAATCCTAATACTTCCAGTATTAGTATATTAAAAATCAAATCAAAAATTTTAAAATCCTAATACTCCAGTATTAGGATTTTAAAATTTTAGAGAGATATTTTAAGAATTATTATTATTACATATTTAAAATGAAAATTAGAAAATTTGCAAATGTAAAATTGAAAAAAACCAAAAATTGAAAAATCATGAATCCGTCTAATCTGGAATTGAAAAAAGAAAAAATTTTAAAATCTGAAAGTTGAAAAATTGAAAACAGAAAAACTGAAAAATCCAAAAGTTCAAAAATTTAACTTTGAAAAAAGAGAAATTATACATCAGAACATTGAAAACTGAAAAATTGAATAAATAAAGAAAATGAAAAACTGAAAGGAAAAATTGCAAATCGAAAATTTACAAAATTTAAGAATTGAAGAAACAAAAAAATTGAAAAATCACAAATCGAAATTTTGAAGAAGCGAAGATCTCGGGAAATATATAAAATAGAGCCATTGAAAGTTGTATTATTTTCAATATTATTATCTTTGTAACATATTTAAAATGAAAAAAAAAAATGCAAATCAAAAATTTAAAAAGCGAAAAACTGAAAAATCATGAAACTGAAAAATCTAAAATTGAAACAACGAATAATTAAATATATAAAAATTACAAATCGAAAATTGGACAACCCAAAAATTGAAAAATTTCACATTGAAAAGAAAGAAAAATTGAAAAAGTAAGGAAAATAGAAAACCGAAACGAAAAATTGTAAATCGAAAAATTGAAAAATCGAATAACTGAAAAATTAAAAATTAAAAACTCGTGAAATTACAAATCTAAAAATTGCAAAATTTAAAAATTAAAAGCTCCAAAAGTTGAAAAACTGGAAAATATTAAAATGAAAACTTTATAGAGTTGCATGGCGTAAAATTGAAAGAAACAAAAAAACATGAAAACTTAAAAAATTGAAATTGCTAACACAAAAAATTATAAAATCGGAACATTGAAAATCGAAAAATTACAAAACTAAAGGAAATAAAAAACCGAAACGAAAATTTGAAGAAACGAAAATTTCAGGAATTGACACAATGAAAAGCGAACTATTAAAAAATTAAAAAAAAAATAAGAATGATTATTATTACATATTTAAAATGAAAACTAGTAACATTGCAAATCTAAATGGAAAAAAATTTAATTAAAAAAAATCATGAACGATTTGGAACTGAAGAAAGGAAAAATTAATTTAGAAATGTAAAATTTGAAAAATTGAATATAGAAAAACCGAAGAATCCAAATATTGAAAAATTTCTTATTAAACAAAGAGAACTTATAAAATCAGATCACTGAAGAACTGTAAACCAGAATAAATAAAAAAAAGTAAAAAGCCGAAACGAAAAATTGCAAATCGAAAAATTACAAAACTAAAGGAAATAAAAAACCGAAACGAAAATTTGAGAAACGAAAATTTCAGGAATTGACACAATTAAAAGCGAATTATTAAAAAGTTTTAAAAAATAAGAATTATTATTATTATTACATATTTAAAATGAAAACTAGAAACATTGCAAATCTAAATGGAAAAAAATATAATTAAAAAAAATCATGAACGATTTAGAACTAAAGAAAGGAAAAATTAATTTAGAAACGTAAAATTTGAAAAATTGAATATAGAAAAACTGAGGAATCCAAATATTGAAAAAATTCTTATTAAACAAAGAGAACTTATAAAATCAGATCACTGAAGAACTAAAAACCAGAATAAATAAAAAAAAAATAAAAAGCCGAAACGAAAAATTGCAAATCGAAAAATTACAAAATTTAAAATGTGAAGAAAAAATCACAAATTGAAAAACTGAAGAAAAAAACTGAAAAAATTAGAATTGAAAAAAATATATAAAATCTAAATATTGAAAAATATATTAACTGAAAAAATAAAGAAAATAAAAAACCGAAACGAAAAATCGGAACCTAAAAATTTGAAAAAAGGAAAAACTAAAGAATCGAAAAATTGAAAAATGAAAAACTCGAAAAAATGTAAATCGAAAAATAAGATGAAAATTTGAGGAATTGAAAAATTGAGAAGTCAAATAAATGAAAAAGTTTTAAAATCTCCTAAATATCTTAGGCATTAAAACGAAAAACTGCAAATCGAAAATTTGAAAAAATGAAAAATTTGAGAATCGAAAAACCGAAAACTTAAAAATTGGAATTTTAAATCGAAAAATTACAAAATCTAAGAATTAAAGAAACAAAAAATGAAAAATTTTGAAAACATTTTTGATACTATTGTATATTTGCAGATGGCGTGGCTCAAAGAAGAGGGCTTCGGCGGCATCATGATCTGGTCGGTCGACATGGACGACTTCCGCGGCTCCTGCGGCAGCGGCAAGTACCCCCTCATCAACGCCATGCGGCAAGAAATCGACGGCTACAAAGTCAAACTCGAATTTGACGGCCCCTACGAAACGTCAATTTCTTCCGGCCAGTACACAACAAAAGACCGTAAGTCCACCACCCCTTCCTTTCAAACCCTAACTCCACCACTTGCAGCCAACGAGGTGACCTGCGACGAGGAGGAAGGCCACATCAGCTACCACCCCGACAAGGCCGACTGCAGGATGTACTACATGTGCGAAGGGGAGCGAAAGCACCACATGCCCTGTCCGTCCAACCTCGTCTTCAACCCCGATCAAAACGTATGTGATTGGCCCGAGAACGTGGAGGGTTGCATGCAGCACACAGCGGCGCCCCCCACTAGACGATAATGTAACTAAATTTTGTAAATAATTTGGAGAGTTAGGTTGTTTAAGTTTTGAAATTAACGTTTGATTTTAATTAAGTGATGTTACTGCCATCGACTGAAAGGATTCTTTGATTGTGGAACTGCCATAAGAAAAGACAGTTTTATGCACTTTAATGGGATCATTTTTAAATCGTTTTATCATTATTTAACTCTATTTTATATATTTATAAATTATGCATGTAGAGTAGGACGAATATTTTTATATGGTATACATTTGTATATTTCGTAGGTTAGCGTGTAAAATAAGTAACTGTAAATATACACAAACAAAGAAAGTTGTGTTTTATTTGGACGCTTGTCCGGCTGGACTTTCAGAGTAAATTTTCTCCCAGAAAAGTACCCTTTCGGGGATGCAGCTGGAGTTAAAAGACAACTCTTGACCTATGTCGAGAAAGTCAAAATTGTCTCCCGTTACCGGTTTCCACTCCACTTTCAACAAACCGTCGTTTTTTTCGGGAGTCGGATTTCCAAATTTTGCAAAATTGGTCCATAGTTTGACAAATCTGCGAATTGACACATCTTCGGTAGTACCTGGTTGTATCTCAGGAGTGGCGAAAGTCTTAAACAAGTATCCGACGTCGTCGCAGTGGCACGCCCCTACAAAACCAAAGGTAGTACCCATTAGACACACCTCCACCTTACCAGGAGCTTCAATCTTCAGGTACTTCTTCAAAAAATTGAGACTGGTCTCCACCGACATCTGATACAAGTAAATCGGGGTACTCAATACCGCCAAATGACTCCTCACCGTGACGTAAATCCCATGCACAAACTGACTATCTGAAAACAACTAAAACCAAAACCTGAACACTCGAGTACCGCAGTACTAACATCATACTTTTTGCTGAGAAACTTGTCCGAATAGTCTTCCCCCTCAAAGTAGAAGTTCTTAATTTTGTCTACAAGAGTGCGCGTTTTGGGGGTTCCAACTTCACAATGGTAGAACCAAGGTATCACGTCTTCTATGGGCAACATGTCTTGGTTCGGGTCCCTATGGAACTCAAAAATCATCCCTTCGCTTGACGTGTACCCAATTATCAGTGGTACTGGGTGGAAATTACCCGACCGCATCACTTCCATGGGTTCTTTGTCCAGAAAAGGCTCCTTCGAGTTTGTTTCAACGACCAAACCAAAGGGTCTGCGAATACTCGGGATACCCTCCTGGAACAACCACTTAAGAGAAAATCCGGTGAAGATCTCGACGTACATCGCCTATTGCTTTCTGGATTTCGTAAATTTCGTCTACCGACTTTTGCATTAGAGTGTTGTAAATGGTTGTTTCGTCGGACCCAACGAGGTCCATGGCTTTGGCCAGAAGAGCGGTACCTTTGGTGCCGTCGACCCATGGGTTAAGCACGCACCCACTATGGGCTATACCCTTGTGAAACAAACCCTTTCCCATGGGAGACAACATCAACAGATGGACTGAGGCACCACCTGCGCTTTCACCAAAGATTGTGACATTATTTGGATCCCCACCAAACTTATCAATGTTCTTCTGGACCCATTTCAAGGCCATTACTTGGTCTTTCAAGCCGGCGTTCCCAGGTATGTCCAAAGAGGGGTCGTCAAAACTTACAAAACCTATAAAAATCAACACTCTTAATAAAGCCAAACACCATCATGACGTACCAAGTAGTCCAAGTCGATAGTTGATCGTGACTAGAACCACGTCTTCAGTGATAAGAAACTCAGGACCGTACAAGTCTTCATTGCCAGACCCGAACACAAATCCTCCTCCGTGGATCCAAAACAGGACCGGACTTAGTTCTTTTCCGTCTTGGGGGAGCTGAGTTAGGTAGTACTAGCACAAGTGCGACAAAGGTACTTACTTTTTTCGTGTAGACGTTCAAAACTAGGCAGTTTTCGCTCCCGGAAACTTCCTTTTTGAGGGGGTCTTCGGCGTAGCAAACGTCTCCTTGTTTGGTGGCATCTAAAACTCCTGTCCATTTTTCAGGAGGGACTGGGGCCTGGAAATACATTGTCACCCGACTGGGGTTACCTTAACACCCACCTACCTTGAATCTGAGTTCCCCTAGGGGCGGCTTCGCGTATGGTATCCCTTGGAACTTGAGGAACGAGCCGCCATGGCGGTCTGTTGAGGTGGAACCTTGGAGGGTTCCTTGGTCTATTGTTACCTCGGGTTTGGACATTTTACACTGTTTGTTTTATTGTGCGACAAATGCAGTTGTTACCAGTTTACCAGGTTCATTAAAGTGTACCGGTTGATGGTTCTACTGATAAAATGTTGCGGAGGTTGTTTATAGCGACCACTCGAATGGCATGCGCCACATTATTTTTAGATAGTTTTGTTTGGCGGGTTCACCTTGAATGAGTAATAAACGCGATAGCTGTGTGTATCTGGCGATATTGTCGAGATTTATAAGTTGGTAATATATCTTTAATGACAAGCACTTTTATTAACATCGGTTAAATTTAGCGACACTGGTTTCGAATCTGTTTGTAGAAATCTCAGCGCAAATCCCGGTACTTTAAAAATTACAAAAATTGTTTCCCGCTGAATTTTACAGTTCTTCAATTTTTCTTTCTTTTAAGTTTTCGGTATGCAATTTTCAAATTTTTAAGTTTATATTTTTCAGTTTACAATTTTCCAACTTTCCAATTTTTCAGTTTTTGGGTTTGGCAATTTTTCGATTTGAAATTCTTGAGTTATCGATTTTCAATTTTTCAGTTTTTCGGTTTGCAATTTTTCGTTTCGGAATTTTGTTCTCTTTTCTTTAGATTATTCGGTTTTTTATTGTCTCGATTTAATAATATTTTCTTCAAAAATTCAAAATACCATAATCCTCAAAACCTCAAACGCCATTATCCTGAAATCCTCAAAACATCGTTATCCTCAAATCCTCACAATGTCAGGCGCCATTATCCTAAAACCCCCAAAACACCGTAATCCTCAAATCCTCAAAACATCGTAATCCTCAAATTCTCAAAACATCGTTATCCTCAAAACCTTATAACTCCATAACCCTCAAATCCTCAAAACACCGTAACACACAAATCCTCAGAACACAATAATCCTCAAATCATCAAAATATCGTAAACCTTAAATCACCATAATCCTCAAATTCTCAAAACTTCATTATTCTTAAATCCACAAAATATCGTAATCCTCAAATTCTCAAAACATCGTTATCCTCAAAACCTTATAACTCCATAACCCTCAAATCCTCAAAACACCGTAACACACAAATCCTCAGAACATAATAATCCTCAAATCCCCAAAATATCGTAAACCTTAAATCACCATAATCCTCAAATCCTCAAAGCTTCATTATCTTTAAATCTACAAAACATCGTAATCCTCAAATCCTGAAAACATTGTTATCCTCAAATCCGCAAAACATCATAATCCCCACTTTCTCAGAACACTATAATACTCAAATCTTCAAAACTTCATAATACTCAAATCCTCAAAACACCGTAACCCCCGAATCCCCAGAACGCAATAATCCTCAAATCCTCAAATCACCATAATCCTCAAATCCTCAAAACTTCATGACTCTTAAATCTACAAAACATCGTAATCCTCAAATCCTCAAAACATCGTTATCCTCAAATCTTTAGAACACCATAATCCTCAAATAATGAAAACATCAGAATCCTCAAATCCCCAAAATATCAGAATACTCAATTCCACAGAACATCCCTTGTCTTGTTTTTGAAGTAATTTAAAAGGATCTCCGGGTGAAAGGAAGGAAAGGACGAAGGACGAAAAGGACGAAGGACGAATAGGATGAAGGATGCAAAGGACGAAGGACAAAAAGGACGAAGGGCAGAAAGGACGAAGGACGAAAAGGACGAAGTACGAAAAGGACGAAGGACGAAAAGGACGAAGGACGAAAAGGACGAAAGACGAAAAGGACGAACGACAAAAGGACGAAGGCTGAAAAGGACGACAGACTAAAAGGACGAAGGATGAAAAGGACAATAAAGGACGAAAATGGACGAAAATGAATAAAAAGGGACGAAAAAGGACGATAAATGACGAAAAAGGACGAAGAAGGACGAAAAAGGACGAAACAGGATAATAAAAAACGACGGAAATGGACAAAAAAGGATGAAACGGACAAAAAAGGATGAAAAGGACAATGAAGAACGAAAAAGGACGAAACGTGAAGAAAAAGACGAACAAGGACGAAAAAGGACTAAAAGGACATGAAGGACGAAAAAGGACGGAAAAGGACGGAAAATGACGAAAAGGATGAAGAAGGACGAAAAAAGACGACAAGGATGAAAAAGGAGGAAAAAGAACGAAGAAAGACGAAAAGGACGAATACTGACGAAAAAGGACGAAAAGACGAAAAAGGACGAAACAGAAGGATAAGAACGAAAAAGGACGAAACAGGACAATAAAGACGAAAAAAGACGAACCGAGAGGAAAATGACGAAAAGGGACAAAAAAGGACGACAAGGACGAAAAAGAACCAAATGGACGAAAAGAACGAAAAGGGACCAAAAGGACGAAAACGGACTAAAAGTAAGTAAGTAAGTAAGTAAGTAAGTAAGTAAGTAGTTTATTTACGGAATAGAACTTTCCATTAGTACAAATAAAATAATACAATAAATAATAAGATATTACCAGCGTACAAAAATATTAAGAAATATAAAACAGTATACAACACTCCAGATGGGTACACAAAAACACTTAAGACAAATATAAAACAACCATTACAAATGACTTATCTTATGACTTAATTACTAGTTCGAATTAATTATGAGTCTTCTTGCTTGGAACTTAAAGGAAGCGTATGACTTACCAGAAAAAAAATCTAATTTGTCACCATACTTATTACATGCATGGCATATTGCGTTTAACGGGCAGTTAAGTGCATAGTTGGTTTTGGCGGATGCAATCTTAAATACAGGCATATTCCTAGTAGGATATTGAGGGACATACAGCTGAATGTTGCCTAATATGTCCTGTGAATCAATCAAATTGTTGAATAACTTGTACATAAAGCATAGAGCAAAAAATTCTCTCCTTCTCTTTAGCAAAGAGAAGCCGAGGTAGTCCCTGCATAGGGCAATATCTTGGCGTACAAATGAAGGTAGTCTACTTTTTATGAAGTTAATAAATTTAATTTGCACAGATTCGATTCTCCCCTCATGTGTGCGATAATATGGAGACCATATTAAGCAACCGTATTCGAGAATAGATCTTACATTAGACACATATAAGGTCGAGAGCGTTGCGATATTCCGAAAGCCTCTGCAATGTCTTTTAACTGCACCCAGTGATCGATTTGCTTTGTTAACAATGAAGTCATAGTGCGATCTAAACGAAAGTTTGTTATCAAGTAGAATACCTAGGTCTTTAACCACCGGCTTCAAAGCCAAATTTATGTTATTGAGCATATATTTAGGAATTGATGAAGAGAGTTTCCTACTAAAATTTATTGCAAAGCATTTGTCTGAGTTTAGTGACATGGTATTAAGCGTGCACCATTTATGTAATGCATCGATGTCAGATTGTAGCGCTTGGACGTCGCGATCTGAATGTATAACATTATATATTTTCAGGTCATCGGCGAACAATCGGAAGTTACATCTAAAATTGTAGCCGATATCGTTAATAAAGACCGAGAAAAGGATGGGGCCAATTACTGAGCCCTGAGGCACTCCGGACGGCACTGTTTGCACGCGCGAATAACAACTCCCAATTTTGACCTGCTGGGTTCTTTCGCTCAAGTAACTCTTAAACCATTCAAGTAAATTTCCGGCAATATCATAAGCTTGTAACTTTTGAATAAGGATATAGTGATTCACCTTGTCGAATGCTTTGCTAAAATCTGTATATATCGCATGTACCTCAGATCCTTTGCCTATCGCGTTGATGATAAAATTGACATAGCCGATTAAGTTAGTAATTGTAGATCGACGTTGAAAAAACCCGTGTTGTTCTTCCACTAAAACATTTCTCAAAAGGGGAGTAACCTTCGAACAAACAACTCTCTCGAATACCTTGCTAACAGAAGAGAGAATCGAAATAGGGCGGTAATTGACAATTTCTGTTATTGATCCAGATTTGAAAATCGGGACTAAATAGGCATGCGTCCATGCTGCCGGGAAAATGCCTGAACTTAATGACATATTGAATAAAACATGCAATGGTAGTACTAGACTGTCCTTACAATTTTTGAGTAAAACAGGTGGTACGCCGTCAGGACCGCAGCCTTTGCTGACATCTAGATTTCGCAAGGCAAGATCTATTTCGCAAGCGTGTATAGTGATAATACTAAGATCTACAGAAATGTCCGACTTTAAGTGAGATTTTACAAATTTGGAGTCGTCATACACCGAGTAAAAGTAGTCCATAAAGGCATTGCTAATATCAGTTTCACTAGTTAAAATGGACTCTCTATATTTCATCTGTGGAGGTAAAGATGTTCGCGTTTTAGTTCTGATAAATCTCCAGAATTTCTTTGGGTGCCTTTTTAAAATGACGAAAAAGAACGAAATGGACGAAGGAGGACGACAAAGGACGAAATAAGAGGATAAGAACAAAAAAGGACGAAACAGGACAATAAAGGACGGAATTGTAAAGTAAAAAGGAGATTTCCGTAAATAAATACTAAATACTAAAAGGACGAACCGAGAGGAAAACGACGGAAAGGGACGAGAAAGGAAGAAACAGGACGAAAAAGGACGGAAAGGACGAATAAGACCGAAAAAAGGACGAAACAAGAGGAAAAGGACGAAAAAGGACGAACAACGACTAAAAGGACATGAAGGACGAAAAAGGACGGAAAAGGACGACAAGGACGACAAGGACGAAAAAGGACGAGAAATGAAAAAAAAAAGACGAAGATTATGGAAAATACAAAAAAGAACGAAAAAAGGACGAAAGGGACGAAAAAAAACGAAAAAGGACGAAAAGGACAATAAATGCCGCAAAGCATGAAAAAGGACGAGAAAGGAGAAAACAGGACGAAAAAGGACGAAACGGGAAGGAAAGGACGAAAAAGGATGAGGAAGACAATAAAGGACGGAAAAAGACGAAAAGGACAAGAAAGGACAAAGAAGGACGAAAAAGGACGAAAAAAAAACGAAAAGAACGAAACGGACAATAAAGGACGAAAAAAGACGGAAAAGGACGGAAAATGACGAAAAGGATGAACAAGGACGAAAAGACGACAAGGACGAAAAAGGACAAAAAAGGACGAAGAAGGACGAAAAGGACGAATACTGACGAAAAAGGACTAAAAGGGACAAAAAAGGACGAAAAGCACATGAAGGCCGAAAAAGGACGAGAAGGACGAAAAAGGACCAAAAGGACGAAAAAGGATCAAAAGGACGAAAATAGACCAAAGTGACGAGAAAAGACAAATGGACGAAAAAGTACCATAAGGACGAAAAAGGACCAAAGTGACGAAAAAGGACGAAACGGACGAAAAAGAACCATAAGGACGAAAAGGACGAAAAAGGACCAGAAGGACGAAAACGGACCAAAATGACGAAAAAGGACACGAAAAAGACGAAAGAGGACGAAATGGACGAACGAGGACCAAAAGGACCAATAAGGATGAAAAAGGACGAAAAGGACAAAAAAGGATCAAAAGGACGAAAAAAGACCAAAGTGACGAAAAAGGACGAAAAGGACGAAAAAGGACCAAACGGACGAAAAGGGATAAAATAGACGCAAAAGGACCAAATGGACGAAAAAGGACTAAAATGACGGAAAAGGACGAAAAGGACGAAAAAGGACGAAAAGGACGAAAAAGGACCAAAAAAATGAAAAGGGATAAAATAGACGCAAAAGGACCAAATGGACGAAAAAGGACTAAAATGACGGAAAAGGACGAAAAGAACGAAAAAGGACCAAAAGCTCGAAAAGGACGAAAAAGAACCAAAAGAACGAAAAAGGACGAAAAAGGACCAAAAGGATGACAAAGGACCAAAATGACGAAAAATGACGAAAAGGATGAAAAAGGACGAAATAAACGAAGAGGGACCAAAAGGACCAATAAGGATGAAGAAGGACGAAAAGGACGAAAAAGGACTAAAAGGACTAAAAAGGACGAAAAGACGAAAAGGACGAAAAGGACGAAAAAGGACGATAAAGGACGAAATGGACGAAAAAGGACCAAATGGACGAGAAGGAGGAAGAAGGGCGAAAAGGACGAAAAAGTACGAAAAGGACGAAAAAGGACGACAAGGACGAAAAGGACAATACGTGTTACCATTGTTTTTGACTAGGAGTATAATTTAAAAGGAGTCGCCAAATATAAATATGTGTTTACAACAAAAACACGTTTTATGAAATTCTAAAAGTGGTTATCTTTTTGTGCAACGAACTTTTATGATGATACACTATTTCCAGAAAACCAGTTTTTGGATAAACACAAATTTTAAAAATTAATGTCTTGCAAAATGGGGCACACTAAACTAAATTAAAATATGACCTAATTATAAATCAGTTGGTTTTTACGACCCAGTAACACAACGTAACATTTGTTGCAATTTTAGGGACATGATATATATACTTATTGTTCATCAGCATGCTAATTTTATTTTGTCTTGCTATATCTACATTTATCGTCACAATAGCGACCTCCTTTTTATTCTTTTTCCATTGTTGATAATCTCGTTGAGAACAAACAACTTCATTACAAATTCCTTTACCAGCGCAACGTGTTTACAAGACATCGTTAAGAACACTGAAGAAATAACACTAAAACTGAATACAGTATGTACAGTCCAAATACAATAAATAAACCAAAAATCGCTTTTCAGATGATCGTGACGATATTTATCGTCATAATTATATCAGCAACATTTTTGTTCACGATTTTCCGTGACAAAAAATGTCTTCCAGGACCGTGGAATTTGCCCATTGTAGGTTACCTACACAAACTGGATCCAGCAGCACCATACTTAACTTTCACAAAACTAGGACAAGAATATGGACCTGTTTACAGTGTCAAACTTGGTTCTGTTAACGCCGTCGTTATAACTGACGCTAAAATACTAAAAAAGGTGTTAGCGAAGGATGAAACACTTCAAAGACCGCAGCTCTATCTTTTAGATTGTGTATTTAATCGGAAAGGTACTAGATTCCGGATAAACTATATAGAAAACTTTACAGTCATTGTAGGGATTTTAATGTTGCCTGTCGACGTATGGAAAGATCAACATAAGTTTTTGATACATTTTTTGAGAATAATAGGGGCTAGTAAAGTTTCCCCAAATAAGAAAACTTTTGAGGCGTTAATAAGAAAATATTTGGAAGAATTTGTACAAGTAAGTGAGTTAAACAGAACCACGATTCTTTGATAAATTTCCTTCCACTGTTCAGCTTATTAGAAGTCAAGATCATTGTGCAGCGATGGATCCTACAAAATATATAGCCCATTGTGTTAATAATATCGCTGGCATGATGCTTCTGGGCAAATCATATTCCTGGGACGACAAGACGGTTACCGACTTAACACAGAATCTTGATGAGGTAGTTAAACACGTGGCATTTGGAGGTCCATTGAACTTCATGCCACTTCTACGGTATGTGAATGGTTTAGAGCCAAAACACGAAAATTTTAAATGTGAATTTTCCAGTTTCATACCAACGTTCAAAAAATCACTAGCTTCGTTAAAAAAATCCCTTCATGTCGTTCGTGATATTCAAAAGAAACTTATAAAAGAATGCCAAGAATCCACGTCTAGTAGCAAAATAGAAGTTCCGTCAAATCTCATTCAGGCATTTCTTCTTCAGATGTCTAAGGGCAGCCCTGAGCACATTTACAACCATGACCAACTACGCTGCCTTTTATTCGACCTTTATGTTGCCATCACTGAAACTGTCAAAACCTGCTTTCGTTGGATTTTGTTATATTTGGCCCAGTACGAAGAAGTACAAAATAAAGTACGACAAGAACTACTAGAGGTAGAAACGGATGACTTTGCAGACTTACACTACACCAAAGCGACTCTCGCTGAAGTGGCCAGAATCAGAACTGTAGTACCAATTGGAGTACCACAGTTGGTTTCCGAAAATATTTGCGTCGAAGGATTTGCCATTCCAAAGGACGCAGTGATAATGCCGATGTTATGGGCGATTCACATGGATCCGAAAGTTTACGAAGAACCGGAAGAATTCCGTCCTGAAAGATTTCTAAACAACGACGGAAAATTTTTCAGACCGGAATCGTACCTTCCTTTTCAGACCGGTAAGACGAAAAACGCGTAAAACGAGAAGTGTAGAAATTTGTTTAAGGTAAAAGAATGTGTATTGCTGAAGACATGACGCAGATGATGGTGTCGATGTTTGTTGGTGTTGTGTTGAAGAATTTTAAACTTGCACCTAGTGACTCTTCCCCGATAGATTTCACTGGCATTTGTAATTCTACTCTGTCTCCTAAACCCCAAAAAATTGTGTTTAAACCGATATAAGGTAGCAAATAGGGTTTTCGTGTGTTAGAGATTTTACCAATAGTTTTATGGTGTACCAAGGTGGATTTGTTTATTAAATGGAGTGGTGACACTAATCAATAGTGCCAAAATAGCTAATTTATTTTGTCCTGCAAGAGTTTAACAGCCTGAATTTTATTTATATTTAGTTTATCATGTTTACGGATTTTTCCACAAACAGAGATTATTTGCAGACATTATTAGTAACGAATGTGAACATAGTGCTTATTAATATCGGACGAGTTAAAGTGCATTATTCGGTTCAAATACAATAATTATTATAAATGAAAAAATCTGTTCAGATGGCCACAATTGTATTCGTCTTAATAATAATAATAATACTGCGACTTTATCAGTGCTGACTGCATGTTATTAACAACCAATTTCGAAAAAACTCGGCCATTTTCGGAAAAATATCCACTTTCCTTCGTGTTCACAGCACTTTTGCTAATATTTATTAACAATAAATTAGAAATTTGCGAACACGTGCTACTTTTAACCCAACACGGAGCCTGCAAAATTTATTTTTCATATTTTGGCCATGAAAATGCACATTTTCGGGGATAATTTAACATTGTTTAAACAAATTGATTTGTTTTTAATAATTTCGGGATTGTAGGAAAACGAGTTTCGGTTTAATTATCGTATATTGATGCTCATCATATTTAAACATTATAAATGATATTAATTATGTTTAAAATTTATATATTTATATTGTGAAAATATATAGCTTTGATCAACCAATTTCAATCGTTTCGAAAATCTTCCCACAATTTAAACATTGTCGAGTAAACGAATCACCGAACTCAATAAATTAAAACTGAAATCGTACTTACCCTGTTTTCGGTTCTATTCGGAAAACTACCCATTTTCGTTCGTTTCTATCAAAAAATCGACAAATTGAAAGAGCGCAAAAATCAAAATTTTTAAAATCGAAAAATTGAAAGAGTGAAAAATCTAAAACCGTGAAGTCGAAAAATGGAAAGATCGTGAGATTGGGAAATCGAAAAATCGAAAGTCTAAAATTTAAAAATTCAAAAAACAGAAATAGCAAGTCCTAAAAAACAAAAAAAAAATATTGAAAAATTGAGAAATCGAAAAATCAAAAAATCGAAAAATCCCACAGGTGAAACATCGAAGATTTAAGAAATCGAAAAATTTTAAATCAGGAAATTGAAAAGTCGAAAAAACGTAAAATCGAAAGTTTAAAAAATGAGATTGTTGAAAAATCTAGCACCTGAAAAACCGAAAATTTGAAAAATTGAATAATTGAAGAATTAAGAAATCGACAATCCGAAGCAACAAAAAGTCGAAAAACTGACAAATTGAAAAATTGAAATACGAGTATGTATCAGGAAATCAAAATAGTCTAAACGAAGAATTAAAAATTGAAAAATCCGTATATCGAATAATCGAAAATTTTAAAAATGGTCAAATTGATCAATAAAAAAGTTAAAACGAAATCTCGATAAATCGGAAAATCAAAAAATGGAAAAATCGAGAAATTGAAATATCAAAAAATCGAGAAATTGAAAAAGCATTTTATTTGCCAAAAGTGGTCTTATCTTAGCAAAATCTGCCCCCAACTTCCCGTCCTCTATTCCCTCACAGGACATATCATTCGCCAAAATCAGTCTTATCTTGGCAAGTACGGGCCCCGCCCACCCACCTGTTTTGCCAAAATCAATTGATTGCAAATCGAGAAATAAAAAAAACGACGTTTAAAAAATCGAAAAATTAAAATATAGAGGAACAAAAAACTTAAAAAATTGAGAAATTGAAACATCAAAAAATTGAAAAATCCCACAAGAGAACATCGAAAAATTGAGAAATTGAAAAATTTTAAAACGAGAAATCGAGGTTGAAAAATTGAAAAATCGAAAGTTTAAAAAATCAAATTGTTGAAAAATCAAACATGTGAAAAGTCGAAAATTGGAAAAATTGAAAAATTGAAGAACTAAAAAATCGAGAGTCCGAAATACTCCAAACGAAGAATGAAAAATTGAAAATTTTAAAAATGGGGAAATTGATCAATAAAAAAATTGAAACATCGATATCTCGATAATTCGGGAAATCAAAAAATGGAAAAATCGAGAAATTATAAAATCGAAAAAATTAAAAATTCTAAAGGTCGAAAAATTGAAAAACTGGAAAATCTAAAACCATGAAGTTGAAAATTGGAAAGATCGAGAAATTGAGAAATCTAAAAACTGAAAGTATTAAATTTCAAAATTCGAAAAACTGAAAACAGAAATAGTAAGTACTAACCCCCCTCACCCGCCCTTTATTTTCTTAGGGAATGTCATTCACCAAAATCAGTCTTATCTTAACAAGTACTAGCCCCGCCTACACGCCCTTAATTTTCTTAGAGGTTATATCATTTGCCAAATCTGTCTTATCTTAGCAAGTACTGGCCCCGCCCTCCCACCCTCTATTGTTTCAGAGAATATGTCATTCGCCAAAATCAGTTGATTGGAATTGAGCAATCAAAAATTTAAAATTCAAAGAATTGAAAAATTAAAATATCGATAAGTTGAGGAATCAAAAAACTGAAACAATAGATAAACATCAAAAAATCGAAAAATCCCACAACTGAAACATCGAAAAATTTTAAATCGAGAAATCGAAAAGTCGAAAAATCGAAAGTTTAAAAAATAAAATTGTTGAAAAATCGAAAATTTAAAAAATTGAATTGAAGAACTAAAAAATGGGGAATTCGAAACAACGAACAGTCGAAAAAACGAGAAATGGGAAAATCTAAAGCTCAAAAATCAAGAAATCGAAAATTCGAAAAATCGACAAATCGAAAACTTAGAAACGTCAAAAATTGAAAATTTGAAAAATGGAAAAATTTAAGAGGTCGAAAAATTGAAGAAAAAAAAAATTTAAAATCGTAACACTGAAATATCAGAAAATCGAAAAATCAGAAATCGAAAAATTTCAAGAATCTGGAAATTGAAAAATTGAAAAATCCAGAAACTGAAACATCGAAAAATTGAACAATCAAAAAACTGAAAAATCCCAAAACTGAAATATCGAAAAAATGAGAAATCAAAAAATTGTTATACAATTTTGATTTTTTTTTTCCAAAAATCTAGACATCTACAATAAAACATTTAAAAAACGTTTATTCGACAAAAATTGCAAGTCACCATCAATCCTGGGGGACACGAACTGACAACTTTGGACGATTTACCATGCTGACGATAACCTCAAAACATTTCAAGATTCCAAAGCTTTTGATTTTGCAATTTCAAAGTCAAATTGTAAAATATTGTTATGTAATTTTTTTTTCCAAAAATCTGGACGTCATTTCATAAAATTTAAACAACATTTACTCATTCCATAGTTAGTTAATCATGGGTCCTTTAATTTCAGGTATCTGAGGTCTAATAAAAATCGATACAGACGGTGGATAAATAGACAAACGGAAACGAGAGATTTATTCATACTCTAGGAGCCATGAAACGCTGAGAAAATATGAAAGTAGCAAGTGAAAATCATAAAGAGGGTTTCATTCTTGTTGACATACCATAACCTAGATTTCTATGTTTAGAAAAAGTAACCCATATTCCGGCTGAGTTGTGAAATGAGATTAAGCAAAACTTACTCCTCTACGTACAAATTTAGAAGGTCTACTACCTACTCCTTTAAATAACCGAATGCGCGAAAATTAGTTAAAAGGATTTGCAACAGATGGAGTCAAGTACTGTACGGTTTTTTTAGGTTAGCAGAATCAATCAAAGCGCAGTGGAGCTAGATTAAATTGGCCATGCTACTCTTGACTTTTAGGACAATGAGTTTCGGTTTAATTATCATATATATTTATGCTTATCATATTTAAACATTATATGTGATATTAATTATGTTTAAAATTTATTAATTTTTATCCTGCAAATGTATAGCTTTGATCAACCGACTTCAATCGTTTCGAAAATTTTCCCAAAATTTAAACATTGTCGAGGAAGGAATCACGGAATCCGATAAATAAAAACTGAAGAAAGCAAGAACCACGGGAATGTCAAGAGCAGATCTCGCTAGGAAAGGAGAGGGCTAGGATTTGTTAATGAGGGATAGAACGTTATACAGTACAATACAAGGAAAATACAATACAGGTACCTACAATCTAACTACAAGATTATTTTGAATAAAAATTTATTATGCTTATCATATGTTTAAAACGTCTGCAAAATTTCAAAGCATTCGGTTTTGCAGATTCAAAATTAAATTGTAGGTGAAACGAAGTTCACGGGGTCAGCTAGTAATTAATAAAATTAGTAATATTGATCAATATCTTTTTACTTATTTTATGGTGAAAGAAAATGGCGCCAAGGTTAAAAGTTAAACTTGCACCTGGTTGCTTCCAGTCTCTTGTTCTTTTTAAAAAATAAACCAGTCCGGTCGGACGAAAACCGGCTGACTAATAACTTTATAAAAGAAATATTTGCTTCTTAGTTAAACAAATAAGTGTGCAATTTTAAAAACGTAAGTATATTATTTAACTCACTTAAATAATCTTTTGTTTATTAAAACTGAAAACATCCATGTTGTTAATATCGAGTGGTGCTAAAGTCACATTTTATACTCAACTAGTCTGGTGTATATATTTTATGTTAATTGCTGTATGAAACGTAATTATCATGATAATTCAAAAATTGTTTTTCAGATGGCCACCACTATATTTATCATAATGATTATAGTAATCCTGCTTTTGGTGAAAATTATCCGGGACAAAAAATATCTTCCAGGACCTTGGAATTTACCAGTGATTGGTTACTTACATAAACTGGATCCAACAGCACCTTACTTGACTCTAACCGAACTTGCCCAAAAATATGGACCGATTTACAACATCAAACTTGGCATGCTTAATGTAGCAGTCTTAGCTGACGCTAGAATATTAAAAAAGGTGTTGGCAAAAGACGAAACACTTGAAAGATCGCCTCTCTTTTTGATTGATACTGCATTTGAAGGCAGAGGTACCATTTGTAACGAATCATACAACAAATCTTGTCTATTATTGTAGGTCTTGCACATGCTAATATTGATCTATGGAAAGACCAACGTAAGTTTGCGGCAAATTTTTTGAGAACAGTAGGAGCCGCTAGAGTTTCTCCTAACAGGAAAACTTGTGAATCATTGATAAAAAAACATGTTGACGAATTTGTACAAGTAAGTTAGAAACGAAGAAAAAAACCCACAGATGCATTTTTTTCACTACTTAGATTGTAAAAAATCAAGCTCTTGGTAAACCACTGGATCCTTCAGAACTTATCATCCATTTGATAAGCAGCACCGGTAGCAGTTTATTTTTGGGCCAACCATTTTCTTTGAATGACAAAAAAGTTTCTGATTTAGCACGAAATATTCACGTATTCATTAAATTATTAATGATTGGAACTCCATTGAACTTCCTGCCATTCCTACGGTACGGTTTGTAACATAATTATAATAATTTAAACCACCTTGTTGCAGTTTTTTGCCTCCATACAAGAAAAAATTAGCGTTGCTAAAACAAGCCGTTCGCACAGGTCGTGACATTCAAGGAAAACTGATACATGAATGTGAAAAATCGACGAATTCTCGGCCAAATCTCCTTAAGGCCTTTCAGTTACATATATCCGAAAGCAAATCCGACCAAGTTTACACTCTTGATCAACTACATCGCCTTTTCTTTGACCTTTACATTGGTTTTACGGAAACCACTATAACTTCCTTGCTTTGGATTTTGCTATATTTAGCCCAACACGTTGAAGTTCAGACTAAAATTCGACAAGAACTCTTTTGGGTGTTACAAGGTGAATCACTGGAGTTGGCGGATTTCGAAAATTTGCATTACACTAAAGCAGCTCTTGCCGAAATTGCCAGAATTAGAACTGTATTACCACTAGGGGTACCGCACTATGCCTCCGAAAATATATACCTTGATGGGTTGACGATTCCAAAAGGCACGATGATAATGCCGTTGTTGTGGGGAATTCATATGGATCCCAAAGTTCACAAAGACCCGGAAGAGTTTCGCCCTGAAAGATTTATAGACAGCGATGGGAAGTTTTTTAAACCGGAATCATTCCTTCCATTTCAAAGCGGTAAGATAATGTGGGTTAAGAAGCGAAAAAACAAATTTTTGCTTTAGGTAAACGGATGTGCGTTGGCGAAGACATAGCAAACATGGTAACGACAATATTTATTGCTGGTGTTTTACAGAATTTTAGAATCGGGGCTGTTGACTCTGTACCGATAGATTTTACTGGTAGTTGTGGTGCCGCACTTACCCCTAAACCGCAGAAGCTTATCTTTACGAAGATCTGATGGGATATTTAAAAATGTAAAATGTAGAATGTAGAATATAGAAGTTTATTTATATTTTCATTTTGTGTATATTTTTTGTACAATTATTATTATTATATTATGACAGTCGAGAGAGCGAGAAACAAAGAGCAGTAGAACAAGGACACAAGATATTTACACTCATCTCTTCAGACGATAAACTGGGGTCAGTGTCATGGGCGTTCGAGTGTTTGATAAATCAAATTTTTTGGGATAAAATTATGTCAATGTTAAAGAGATATCTATCTAAAATTCAGTTGTGTTAAAAACGTATTTCGAAGCTTCAGTTACCAACACGAAGGTAAAAAAATACTTATATTTATTTAAGTAAAATGCATCTACTTTTTAGATGTTAATTCCAATATTAATCGTAATTATACTGTACATTTATTATAACAACCGGAGCGATCTCCCAGGTCCTTGGAGCTTGCCCATTATAAGCAAGACACCCAACTTGGATTTAACGCAACTTTGTTACAAAAGGTGAAAATTGAGTGATATTGTTCAGACCCACTAAGAACTATAAGAAAATTTTCTGCATAATTCAGGCGAACACTTTATAGGGCCTGATATCTCGCCTCGGGACTTGTTTGATCTACAGACCAGAGCGCAATCAGGCCAATGCCGACTCTAAAGGCGTACCGAAACGACTTGATCTATAAGCCATGTGCCCTTTCTCAATTTTTCAATTTCTCTATTTTCAGTTTTTCCCCTTCAATTTTACCATTTTGTAAATATTTCGATTGTTCTATTTTTGACTTGTATAAACTCAATTTATCGATTTTTCAGTTAATCAATGTTTTGATTTTCCCATTTCTTGACTTTCGACTGTTTCGATTTTTCGACTTCACTTTTTTGATTGTCCGGTTTCTCAATTTTTCAGTTTTTTAATTTCTAAATGTTTGTATATTTCAGTTTTGGGATTTTCTAATTTTTTCTTGTTTAATTTGACGATTTTTAAATATTTTGATTTTTCAGTTTTTCAAATTTGACTTTTATAACTCTCAGTTTTTCGACTTTTCATTTCTTCAATTCTTTAATTTTTCAATTTATAAAATTTTGATTTTCGACTTCACTTTTTTGACTTTTTGATTTCTCATTGAGGTTTTTCGGTTTTTCCGTTCTTCAGTTCTTCTTTCATTTTTCAGTTCTTCGAAATTTTAGTTTTGGGATTTTTCAGATTATTATTCAATTTTTCGATTCTACAATTTCTCGATTTTTAATTAGTATTTCGGTTTTTCGATTTTTCAATTAATCGATGTTGATTTCCCATTTTTTGACTTTCGACTGTTTCGATTTTCCAGTTTTTGAATTCTTCAACTTTTCTACTTCACTTTTTTGATTTTTCAATTTTTTAGATTCTCAACTTTTGGATATTTCAGTTTTTCCATTCTTCAGTTTTTCTTTCACGTTTCAGTTTTTCGATATTTCAGTTTTGGAATTCTTTAATATTTCGATTCTTCGATTTTTGACTTCTGGATGTTTCGATGTGTCGATTATTTTACTTTTTCGATTTTTAAATGTTTGATTTCCCGATTTATCGAGATTTAGATGTTTCGATATTTTGATTCTCTAGTTTCTCGATTTATCAGCTCTTCAATTTCCGTTTCTCAGTTCTTCCATTTTTCCGCCTTGCCGTTTTTTTAATTTTCCGCTTTTTGATTTTTCGAATTCTCAATTTTTCAGTTTTTTAATTTCTAAATTTTTGTATATTTCAGTTTTGGGATTTTCCAATTTTTTCTTGTTTAATTTGACGATTTTTAAATATTTTGATTTTTCAGTTTTTCAAATTTGACTTTTATAACTCTCAGTTTTTCGACTTTTCATTTCTTCAATTCTTTAATTTTTCAATTTTTAAAATTTTGATTTTCGACTTCACTTTTTTGAGTTTTTAATTTCTCATTGAGGTTTTTCGGTTTCTCCGTTCTTCAGTTTTTCTTTCATTTTTCAGTTCTTCGAAATTTTAGTTTTGGGATTTTTCAGATTATTATTCAATTTTTCGATTCTACAATTTCTCGATGTTTAATTAGTATTTCGGTTTTTCGATTTTTCAATTAGTCGATGTTGATTTCCCATTTTTTGACTTTCGACTGTTTCGATTTTCCAGTTTTTGAATTCTTCAACTTTTCTACTTCACTTTTTTGATTTTTCAATTTTTTAGATTCTCAACTTTTGGATATTTCAGTTTTTCCATTATTCAGTTTTTCTTTCACTTTTCAGTTTTTCGATATTTCAGTTTTGGAATTCTTTAATATTTCGATTCTTCGATTTTTGACTTCTGGATGTTTCGATGTGTCGATTATTTTACTTTTTCGATTTTTAAATGTATGATTTCCCGATTTATCGAGATTTAGATGTTTCGATATTTTGATTCTCTAGTTTCTCGATTTATCAGCTCTTCAATTTCCGTTTCTCAGTTCTTCCATTTTTCCGCCTTGCCGTTTTTTTATTTTTCCGCTTTTTGATTTTTCGATTTCTCAATTTTTCAGTTTTTTAATTTCTAAATTTTTGTATATTTCAGATTTGGGATTTTCCAATTTTTTCTTGTTTAATTTGACGATTTTTAAATATTTTGATTTTTCAGTTTTTCAAATTTGACTTTTATAACTCTCAGTTTTTCGACTTTTCATTTCTTCAATTCTTTAATTTTTCAATTTTTTAAATTTTGATTTTCGACTTCACTTTTTTGACTTTTTGATTTCTCATTGAGGTTTTTCGGTTTTTCCGTTCTTCAGTTTTTCTTTCATTTTTCAGTTCTTCGAAATTTTAGTTTTGGGATTTTTCAGATTATTATTCAATTTTTCGATTCTACAATTTCTCGATTTTTAATTAGGGTTTCGGTTTTTCGATTTTTCAATTAATCGATGTTGATTTCCCATTTTTTGACTTTCGACTGTTTCGATTTTCCAGTTTTTGAATTCTTCAACTTTTCTACTTCACTTTTTTGATTTTTCAATTTTTTAGATTCTCAACTTTTGGATATTTCAGTTTTTCCATTCTTCAGTTTTTCTTTCACTTTTCTCAGTTTTTCGATATTTCAGTTTTGGAATTCTTTAATATTTCTATTCTTCGATTTTTGACTTCTGGATGTTTCGATGTGTCGATTATTTTACTTTTTCGATTTTTAAATGTTTGATTTCCCGATTTATCGAGATTTAGATATTTCGGTATTTTGATTCTCTAGTTTCTCGATTTATCAGCTCTTCAATTTCCGTTTCTCAGTTCTTCCATTTTTCCGCCTTGCCGTTTTTTTATTTTTCCGCTTTTTGATTTTTCGATTTCTCAATTTTTCAGTTTTTTAGTTTCTAAATTTTTGTATATTTCAGATTTCGGATTTTCCAATTTTTTCTTGTTTAATTTGAGGATTTTTAAATATTTTGATTTTTCAGTTTTTCAAATTTGACTTTTATAACTCTCAGTTTTTCGACTTTTCATTTCTTCAATTCTTTAATTTTTCAATTTTTAAAATTTTGATTTTCGACTTCACTTTTTTGACTTTTTGATTTCTCATTGAGGTTTTTCGGTTTTTCCCTTCTTCAGTTTTTCTTTCATTTTTCAGTTCTTCGAAATTTTAGTTTTGGGATTTTTGAGATTATTATTCAATTTTTCGATTCTACAATTTCTCGATTTTTAATTAGTATTTCGGTTTTTCGATTTTTCAATTAATCGATGTTGATTTCCCATTTGTTGACTTTCGACTGTTTCGATTTTCCAGTTTTTGAATTCTTCAGCTTTCCGACTTCACTTTCTTGATTTTTCAATTTTTTAGATTCTCAACTTTTGGATATTTCAGTTTTTCCATTCTTCAGTTCTTCTTTCACTTTTCAGTTTTTCGATATTTCAGTTTTGGAATTTTTAATATTTCGATTCTTCGATTTTTGACTTCTGGATGTTTCGATGTGTCGATTATTTTACTTTTTCGATTTTTAAATGTTTGATTTCCCGATTTATCGAGATTTAGATGTTTCGACATTTTGATTCTCTAGTTTCTCGATTTATCAGCTCTTCAATTTCCGTTTCTCAGTTCTTCCATTTTTCCGCCTTGCCGTTTTTTTATTTTTCCGCTTTTTGATTTTTCGATTTCTCAATTTTTCAGTTTTTTAATTTCTAAATTTTTGTATATTTCAGATTTCGGATTTTCCAATTTTTTCTTGTTTAATTTGACGATTTTTAAATATTTTGATTTTTCAGTTTTTCAAATTTGACTTTTATAACTCTCAGTTTTTCGACTTTTCGTTTCTTCAATTCTTTAATTTTTCAATTTTTAAAATTTTGATTTTCGACTTCACTTTTTTTACTTTTTGATTTCTCATTGAGGTTTTTCCGTTCTTCAGTTTTTCTTTCATTTTTCAGTTCTTCGAAATTTTAGTTTTGGGATTTTTCAGATTATTATTCAATTTTTCGATTCCACAATTTCTCAATTTTTATTTAGTATTTCGGTTTTTCGATTTTTCAATTAATCGATGTTGATTTCCCATTTTTTGACTTTCGACTGTTTCGATTTTCCAGTTTTTGAATTCTTCAACTTTTCGACTTCACTTTTTTGATTTTTTAATTTTTTAGATTCTCAACTTTTGGATATTTCAGTTTTTCCATTCTTCAGTTTTTCTTTCACTTTTCAGTTTTTCGATATTTCAGTTTTGGAATTTTTAATATTTCGATTCTTCGATTTTTGACTTCTGGATGTTTCGATGTGTCGATTATTTTACTTTTTCGATTTTTAAATGTTTGATTTCCCGACTTATCGAGATTTAGATGTTTCGATATTTTGATTCTCTAGTTTCTCGATTTATCAGCTCTTCAATTTCCGTTTCTCAGTTCTTCCATTTTTCCGCCTTGCCGTTTTTTTATTTTTCCGCTTTTTGATTTTTCGATTTCTCAATTTTTCAGTTTTTTAATTTCTAAATTTTTGTATATTTCAGATTTGGGATTTTCCAATTTTTTCTTGTTTAATTTGACGATTTTTAAATATTTTGATTTTTCAGTTTTTCAAATTTGACTTTTATAACTCTCAGTTTTTCGACTTTTCATTTCTTCAACTC